ACTATTTGAACTTTTATATAACTCTCGATAAAAACGTTTTTGTTCTTGAAGAATGACATAGGGATCTGTCTTTACGACGCCGCTGATTACTAGTTTCCTTATATGCTTTTTTACATGATTTCTTTTTTCTAAGTTTAGGAAACATTTGGTACTTTTCTCGCCGTGTTCATGCCAACGTGCTCGGGCACGGATTATTATTCCGTTGACTTTTTCATCATAAAATGATTCGAGCTTATCCTTAGCCGCATTTAAATTGTTGCCATTCGAATCATAGGGGTTCGTTTCGAAAACCTGTTTCGCTTCAGTATATTCTTTTTTTTTTTCTTTTTCTGTTTTGATACTCTTTCGTTTCTCTCCTTTGCCTTCTTTTTGGAATATTTTATAGCATGAGCTCTTATGTTATATTTTATCCAGTCCCAGATGTTACGGTGGTCGGAAAGTTCTTTTCGGCCTTCCGTGATCTAAATTGGTACCATTTTTGTAAGGTCATCAATGTACTCATCATCCTCCAATGTGGAGGTGTTCATCGTCCAACCCAGGACCCTTAGCCTCCTTGTCCACGTTCCCAAATTCTAAATAGATAGCAGAATGGTCAGTTCTGATGGCGGGGATTATATTTGTGGCTTTGACCCAATCATGTAAATTGTTAGAAATCAACCAATAATCAAGGCGACAAAATATCGGCGGAGATCGTTGACTCCAGGTAAAACTTTTAGTTTGCGGGTTATTAACTCTCCATATATCTACAAGATCTAGTTGACTTTGGACATCGTTGATGAAATTTATCACAGATTTCCTAGGCGTCATTATGCCACCTTTTTTGTCCAATGTAGGATTCAGAGGACAATTGAAATCACCTCCAATCACAATATTTTCTTCTGAATCTAAATTTTCGGTCTGCAGCTTAGATAACACATTTTTGAGGAATTTAATGATGTCTTCGTCTTTGTTTGGTGCATAAATGTTTACAAGAACATACATTTTATCTTTGATAGCGGCTTTAACAACGATATACCTCTCCGATGTATCTACAATTTGAGAGTGAATAACGCAATCAAGACCTTTTTCGATTAAGATTGCAACACCTCGAGAGTTTGAACTCCCATGGGAGCAAATAAGTTCTGCACCCCATTCGTTTTTCCATTTTAACTGTGTTGACAATGTCGAATGAGTTTCTTGCAGGAATATTATATCCGAGTTTCGTTTTCGACACCACGTGAAAATTGTTCGCCTTTTTCTGAAATTGCTTAGTCCCCTCGCATTGAGAGATAGTAGATTAAGAGAATGATCGGTCATTAGAGCTGAATCGGGGAAGTGGTATTATAGAAGAAGTCATATAAAACGAAAATGAAATCAATGGTATAGCAGAGTGCAAGAAAATATAGTGCACATAAACGATAATATTCGCCCTAAAACAAATTATTAATCTACAAAAAAACATACAGTAACATATCAAGTAAGAAGTTTCCAGAGCATTCACATTTCTAATTAAACAAGGAGGGTTAAATAGTTTAACACTTATTACACACATAAACCTTAAACTAAACTTAACTATTGATGTGCTGTCGCGCTGTGACCGCTTTGGCTTTAGTTTCCGCTGTTTCTTGTGTCCATAATGAGACCGTAGTATGGGAGATTGGTTGTTTCTTCACCTCTGTAGATTTGCCCGTTTATAATTAGCTTATCAACTTTGAAATAGGCTGTTTGCTTTCTCTGTTTGGTCTTTTTCAAGATGGGATATAACGTTTTCTGTATTTCATCAATTTCCCGGGGGAAATCATTCGCGATTGAAATGTTAGTGTTTTTCAAGTTTTTAACAAAGACCAAACATACTCCTTGTCTTGAAAGAAGCTAAATTTAGCTATAATAGGCCTAGGTTTGGAGTTCTGTCCGTGACTGGTATTCTTCTTAGTAGGGATGCGGTGAACGCGTTCGAAACGGATCTGTTCGATATCTTCCTCTGGGATCTTAAGTTTATCGTGCATCACTTTTTTCAATTGATCTTCAGCAGAAGTTGACTCACCTCTTCCTTCTGGAATATTAAACACTTTTAGATTTTCACGTCTTGTGTATGCTTCTAACTTGATGTTGCGGCACTTAAGATGTTTTATTTTAGCACTGAGGTCTTCCAGATTCTTTTCGTGGGTTTTCAGTGTTAAGCACACGTGGCGGTTGAAGGCGAATTTAGGTCGTCGATGTCGGCTTGAGCGGTGTTCAGGCTTTCTTGTAAACTTTTATTTTCTTTTTCCAATTCTGCCACTCTATCTTGCATAGCCTCTAACTCGCCGAGTCTTGTTAGCACTTTGTCGAGCTTTTCACTGACTTCATCTAGTTTGGCAAAAGCCCCACGACAATGGCCGTCGGCTTCGTCGAACGCATCTTCCCCGTCAGTCTGTAAGCCGCTTTCCCTTAACCGTTTACGACTATCGGCTCGGGCGTCTTCTTTTCCCATGTTGTTTAAGCGAATGAAAGCCAAGCAGCCTTCGTTGATTACATTATTTTACAAGTTTTGAATTTCATCTAAAAGGAGCTAGCAAGAACACGTCCGCCTTCGGCGAAGGCCAGGTTACTCTAAAAGCTAGGCACTTAGCCTAACGTGCGTACGCAGTCAAATTAGCCGGAAAATAAAAAACGCAATCATAAGTGAGTTTAGCACCTTCCTTAAAACTAACAAATCTAGGGAACAATTTCTTTTACTGTTAACTCTTTCTTACCCTATTTACGGCTAACGGTTAAAATTTTTCAATTTTTACGGCTGTCGACTAAATTTTTGGCCGTTTTACGCCTATCGGTTAACCCCATTGAGACCCTCATATTCATGTTTGCATCAAAGCAAGCACCCAGATTTCTAACAGAGTAAACCGCAGAAACCTTTACCTCACCTACTTGCAAATCACTTATCGTAACCTTATTTAACTGTGCGCGTGTACCTATAATAAGAAACTCGGTCTTAGCATCGTTCAGCCGAAGATTGTCTTGGACCATCCAGGTTCTTATGTCACTAATGCAAGCCTGTAAAGCGTCAACAGCATCCGTCTCAGTAGCAGAACCATCCGGCTTAAATGAGATATAGAGCTGCGTATCATCAGCGAATGCGTGAAAGTTAGGGAGATGGGTTTAACATATCGTCAAACTTGTCAAGAATTGTCTTGATGGACAAGCTCCAAGTTATTTCTCAGATTATTTTCGACGGCGAACTTATGATATTCATGACTATGACACTAGGTCTAAGGATAGGTTATCTATTGATAAAGTCAATCTCGAGTTGACTAAGAGGACCTTTTTTTATAAGGGGCTACACTTTTTAATGATTGTGTGTAGTTTTGTTCATAAGGAGGCTACCTTTTTTTATTGATTATAATTATGTAATGTATCCCAGTTTCGTATATAATTAAGTTTTTATCTATTTATTCATTTATTTTATACAGGACCCACATTGATAGCAGTTTTTATAACTAAAATGGTCATCCTGGTTAAACCGAAAACGGATTTCATGGATTATCTGGGGAAATAATCGCGTGCGCGTGCAAGGCCGCTGTTCTTAAGGACTGTTTTTCAAATCCTTTTTCGGATTTCCCCCCAAAAAAAACGGAAAGAGAGGGAATCCAAGAACAGGTATTTTAGCGTTGAAATCCTTTTTCGGATTTCGCGTTCGATTGCAAATCCGAAATACAGCGGAAGTTCTCGTAACGGACACTCTCGTAACCGGACAGCTCTACTTTCGTCCACCTTCACAAAACCCCGTTTTTCTCAAATCCCATACAAACTCTGTATTTTTACATTTCCTTAAGCGGCCAGTACCTGTTACGGACACTTCAGATCGCGTTCCGAGGCCGTGTCTGCTTAAGAGAGCTTCCACAACGCGGAGTTTTTAAAAATCTAAATCCAGATTTCCCAATCGAAGGCAGCCCTAGCTTTTCAGGACGCCACGAAAAGGTATCCTGTATAGTGTCAACATAGCCATTATGATAGTTAGCGGACGTCAATTTTTTCCTAACAAAATCAATGCATCATCGAGACAAAACTTTATGAGAATTAAATGGCCACCTATGATGGCCTTCAAACTCTTTTAGCTAATTTTTTTTAAAGGAAATGAATGGAGGCCAGTCTTGAGATTTTGTAGGTGGATATTAGAGCTTATAATAAGAAGTTAGGTTTTTTTGTCGGCTGCCCGCATTCTAGTGAGGCATTACTTAGTATTGTTATTTCATTTTTTCTAGCACTTCAACCAGTAAAAGTTGTCATAGATATCTTGCTTCTTAAAACAAGAATTCTAATTTATATTAGTGGGAAGACCCAATGAATGAGAAGACTAGCCGGCCAACAAAGGTCTAGCCACAACAGTTGATTCAAAAAAAGAACGCCTTTTTAATCTCAACAACAAAGACGACCTACAATATATACCTGACATAACCGGGAAATTTAAATTTCATAGCTAATAAATGATTTAAGACGAACAGACAAGAAAAGTTGTTCTGGATATTTTTTCAATATAAATAAATATTTCAATTTATAAGAAAGAGCTAGTCAATAGCCAATTCAAACCAACAGAATTTATTGATTATCTTTAGTTTTAAATATTCTACTACACCTGTTGAGACATAAATCTATTTTTCCGTGGTGAGTCTTGGGGACCACGTGAGGCTGGACCAGAAAGGATTTGAGCTGATCCTATCGAACGTGATTTCAAGGTGGGAGAGTATCGAATATGAGCAAGGGCTGTTTTATATCTTCAAAAATAACCATTGAAAATGCCTGGTTAAACTACGAAATTCCTTAATCAAGGTCGCCCAGTTCCTCGAAAAGAGGTTACCGTATTTACTCGAATAGGCGCCCAACCTTGATTTAGCGTCCACCGCGAATAAGCGCCCATCCTAAAGGCAGATAAAGTTAATAAGCGCCCAGCCTCGAATAAGCGCCCACCCCCTCCTCCTCCCAATCAAACTCAAATAAGCGCTCACCCCAACCCCACCCACTTGAGTGAATAAATTCTAATAAGAGACTTCCCCGAGGACGGAGTTTTCTTCAGAGTATTTTACAGAAACCTTGCTTTGTTACTTCTTCGCGTTTTGTTATTAGCATTTATTGTTTTGTGGCAAAATACACATTCTTCACTTGCTGAAAATGGTGAAAATTTAATAAGCGCCCAGCCTCGAATAAGCGCCCACTCTCAAGGTCCAAAAATCTAATAAGCGCCCAGGGCGGTTAATCGAATAAGTACGGTAATTTTTTCTCAGGATTAGGCCAAATTTTTAGCATGGTTTTTTTTGTCTAGCGACAGGAAACTCGAGTTTACACTAAAATACTATTGAGCCTTTACTCTAAAATACTGAAATGACAACAAAAAATGTCACTCTAAGCAATACATAAGGGTCAAGGTAGATTAAAACGGAAACATAATTTTAATCCTAGGTTAGCGCTAATCGGCCCTTCCGGAACCGGGCCCTGTATTGACAACCCTTGGGATAAATGACCAGATCTACCCTTTTAAGAGTAACATTCTGTTCGTGTTTAAAAGTCAATAAAACACTCTCGCTTGTATTAAATGAAATTTATAAATGAAAAGAAAAGAGGGCAATGTGTGGAAAGTGAATTATTGGGTCCACAGTTCTCGCCCATTTCTATAGCTTTCTATTTTTCTTTGCCAAATGTTATGTTTTACCCGCGCTTGATAAGAGCCTTTTTTTTCTGCCTTTGCAGACTGACATTGATCTCGCAATTTCCTGACCGGCGTTACTCTCTACCATCCGCAAGATGAAGCTTTACATTTAATTGTTGCTTTCACGTTACTGGTTTTATGCACGGGATGCGCATGTACTAAAGTACCCGGGACTACTATAGAACCCGCGGAAGTTACTCTGCAGCCAGCAAATCCGGCCAAACGCATTCAGCCTTTAGATCTGTTGAAGAGGTTTCACAAGAGGGGAATAAATTGTCCTGACGGCAGGTCATCGTGTTCATCTGGTGACTCATGCTGTCTCATGTCTTCTAATGGATACGGGTGGTGTCCACTTACTAACCCCGTTTGTTGCAATGATGGGGTCCATTGCTGTCCGGAGGGTTACAGCTGTGGTTCAGGCGGCGACTGTTACAAATAAAGAACCAGTCATCAATCTGGTCATAGAATTATAGGAATAAGTTGTGGTTTTTGGTTTTATTAAATCAGAGGGTTTCTTTTCGACTCGAAGACGACCTAAGTGGGGTTATTTAAACTTTGCAATTGTTTAACCATCACACATGCGCACAAATAAAAATTGGATGATTGTAAAGGTCATGGAAATAAAACAAATGTTTCTCAGTTTAGCTTATTAATTTTCTTACAGAAATGTTGACCCACAAGTGCGAACTCCTTTCCACTTGTCATGAAAATAGGAAAATGCGATAAAAAGCCAATAAAGAGGACATTTATGACTAAAAAGCGTCGGTAGTCTTAAAGGGGCTATGTCATTATGACTGTGGTTTAACCCTTTAAACACTAATATCAAAATTGAGATTCTCATTTACCCTCCCTATACTTTTTCAATAGAAGTAGTAGGAAAAATTTGTTGAAATATCAGTTAGACTTATCTTCCTTGATCATGTAGTCAATTCTCATGACTAATCTGTTGTCTAAAGCATTGATATTAAAAGGAGAAATTTCATGTTTATCACTCTTGGTCCTTGAAGGGTTAAGAAGGAATCCATCAGGAAATTGAGTAATTTTAATTTTCAGTAGACAAAAACCTTGTACCAGAATAATGTAAATGATATCGCATTTTTTTACATTTTTCAAGGGCTATAGATGTAATTAAGTATCTGTAACAACACCAAAGCCCTTCAATTCGGGGAACCGGACCCTGTACTGAGTCACGACAGAAGTTTGCTTCCAATAAATTTGTTTGCGAAAAAACAGCCCTTCGGATAAATGACCCGCTTCACATCTTGTAAGTGTTCTAATTAACCTATTAAACACTCTCGCTTGTTATGTATTAAATGAAACTTTTAATGAAAAGAAAAGAGGGCAATGTGTGGACAGTGACTCATTGGGTCCACAGTTCTCGCCGATTTCTTTAGCTTTCTATTTTTGTTTGCAAAAGATTCTGTTTTGCTTGCGCTTAGCAAGAGCTTTTTCTGACTTAGAAGACTGGCATCGATCTCGCAGTTTCCTGACCGTCGTTGCTCTCCACCATCCGCAAGATGAATTTCCATTTTTGCTTTCACGTTATTGTTTTTATGCGCTGGATGCTCATGTAAAGTACCCGAGACTACTAAAGAACAGGAAACTACTCTGCAGCCAGAAAATCCTGTCAAACACATTCAGCTTAATATAGAACTGAACCCGCGGAGCATTCCATGGAAGCTACTCTACAGTCAGTAATCCCTGTCAAACGCATTCTGCACAATAGAGAACCCCCCGAGCATTCCATGCCGGAAACTACTCTGCAGCCAGCAAATCCTGCCAAACGCAGTCAGCTTCTAGATTGGTTGAAGAGTGGGATTCACAAGAGCGAAAAAAATTGTCCTCAACGCGTATCATTGTGTTCAACTAGTCAAACATGCTGTCGCATTTTTAATGTGTTTTTTTTTCTCTGACATATATGTCGTGAACAGAAAAACTAAAAGTTGTCAAGACCATTTTTCCATCTCGTAAAAGCAGGCATTCCTTTCCCCCTCTAGTCTCCCCTCGTTTTTTTTCTTCGTGAATTGTTCTCCGGCACTCTATCATCTGAACGCCTGGAACAGGCTGTGAATTTACCCGTGAGAGTGGTGAGAGCGCTTTTTGTCTACAAATGTAAATTAAGTCTTGTGTAACTTTATTTAGCTGACATACCCATAAATGAGCTTAAAACTAAATTTAATAGTTTTTTTACAGAGTGGTTTCAAATACAAGAAGAGATAAACAAATGCGTTCAAAAGTTTTATTTTTCGGCAGGTAATAAACGTAACCGCCGTTCAGTCACTTGCGCGCCAAAATTATTGTAATCGTTGGCAGCAATAATTAAAGATTTCAAACATCATCATATTTTTGCTCAGTTGTCTCACTGTTTTATTATATACTAAAACAACTATTCACCTCAGTCAATACTTACCTCCGCGAAGCGGCCAGGGATTTTTTATACCCACCACTAGCCAATGATCGACAATAACAAGGAGGTGAATAACTGAGTTCAATTCACCTTCCCTTTGGGGGATAGTTGTATAGTATAATATATTATTTTCTTAAAGAATAGTGACCCTCCCGTTTCAACTTCCTCTCTCCGTTTACTTATCCCGTGCCCGTGAAAGAGTGATTTTGTGTAAACAAAGCCCTCCTCTCACATTCTACCCCATTTTATCACACACAGAGTCACACACACACCTTATTGGCCTGATGGATGATTTCGTGCAAAAATCTGCGTTGTCATTGCTACCCGATAGCTACCTTGAAGAAAAGTTATTAACCCCTGCCTCTTTCTGGAGAATTAACTTGACATCTCTTCCGGGAAATGCTCAAAAATAGCAGTTCCCTGCCCTATTCAGCCCTCTCACCTGTAAGTGTTTACTTGTAGGTTCAAGTTATTCAGAGCGTCCCAGCCCTGTTTCTCATAGAGTGAAATAACTTATTCGTAGCATTAGAAATTCAGTTTGTAGAGCATGCGCGAATTTAAAAAAGCGTTCATTCATAGTTATATGACTCTGCAACTGTCAGATGTCATTAAAAACTGAGTCATTGGATAATGCTGATTCTAGAGCTTTGATTGGCTTAGCCATCATGGTATATGAGCCATTAGTAAAATCCAACTAATGGTCTATTGTCAATGCTGCGTTCTGATTGGTTGAGCTACTACTAGGCTATATGTTATAGCCCACTAGTAGCGAAAATCGCCGGCTTTGAAAACCAAAACAATGGGGGCTGAATCACGTTTTGCTAGCTAAAGTTGTTTTGTCTCTATATTTTTGACTAACTATTGGATTTTACTAAAACAATTATTCCTGAGTCAATTAGCTTATGTGGCCGAATTAGAGCCCATTGAGGCTCGAGGAATAATTATTGTTAATTAGAACTTAGTCTTTTTACTGTAAGCTCTTTAGTTAAAACTTTCCTAAACTCTTGTGGTTCATTTAACTTGAGCAGATCAAATCGCTTTTTATTTTGTTCCACAAAAACATACTCCGGATGCTGAGTGCTTATCATACATGTCCGGTTCAACAACTCGTTCACTAACATTCAATGATGATCCCTGTGTGAGATGACCGAAAGACCTCTCACAATGAGTGGCCAAATCAACCGGGGCGACAAAAAAACAGTCCGACAAAAAGAGTCCACAAAACACCCTCCAAATTGAAGCAGTTTACTTCGATGCAAAATTTATAGCCTAAAGATTTCAGGCTTCCAGCTGCCGTTTCCACCCACCCAAAATACCATTTATCCATCTACTACTTGCCACGTGGCGTTGTCATGTCTGTTACCCCCAATTAATGGGCTGTGGAACTTGACGTTCACGAAAAGTCTTCTTCCCAAGCATTATACCACACGTTACTAACAGCTAAAACGAATTTTGAAAACCTGTTAGGCTAAAACAAGATTGTCCATCCGCGCCTCCTTTGGTATTTGCTGTATAACCAATACCTACTCAGTTTAATGATTTGAGCGATGCGTTTCCTGTTTTACTACTCAATTTGGTGTCAGTCCCTACAGTTAAAATGTTTTTAAAATTCGTGACACTGTCCGGGGGTACTTTAGGAATTTCTGGGTGGGGATGTGCCGCTGGGACCCTGGAACCCTTAACCTATACCAGAGCTAGTTCAGCTGAATTTTGCTACCCTATACTAGAGTAATCTCCCCAAATCCCCCTTACCCTAGAGTAGCTCTTTCCCTCGTCTAGATAAAATCTTCAACCAAATCCCTTTGGTCTTAATCCTTTAGTGCATGATTATTGTATATTACACAGATAACGTTAAAAATGTCTTCACTATTAAAAAATTTCAGGATATTCCAAAATGACGAGGCAGCATTGATCACGCACCATTTGACCCACGCTTAATTTAGAGGGCCAAATTCTAAGTGGCAGCAGTATCGGATTGAATGCCCTGCTTTTTATCCGTTTCCGATTAACTCTTCCAAATAAATACTGAGAGTAATCGTTTTTAATCACATTAAAACGCTTACCATCGGCTCCCTCAGAGAGCCACATAAATGTCTGTCCGCTTTTCAAGACTAACCAAATCAAACCGCAAAACAAACCGACAAATTGCTCGTTCAATCTTTAACGTTAGTATCATATTTTAATTTTTTTTTTTCAAATCCTTTACTTTAACCCCTGGCTCAATGAGCCGGATATTTCTTGCTACGTAATATCTCTTCAGTTCAAGTTGTCAAACCCAGCCAATCGAAATATAGGTGCTTAGCCATCATGAATGTATAAATAATGGCGGTCAAACTGTCAAACGTAAAACGTTTTTTCCTTTTCATGCGATCAACCGTGACGAGCTGTTAGTGGATTGCACTGGAAGAAAGTAACTCTAAAAACATATTCGCTGTAAGTTTTAATCAGCTTCGTTATGTCCTTATCACTTAGAATTACGGCCTTTTTTTATTTCCCTATCATTGCTATAACAACAAATCTGATTGGCTTTCAACTGTTCTGATTTCTATAGGTAATAGCTAGAACAGTGCAATAGGACAGTCCGCGCCATCGCGCGCACCCAGTTAATGGCTTTTATTTCTCTTCTAGCCAAAAAATCTCTTGCAATTTCTTGGATCTTAATTTTTAAAAACCTAAAATATCACAAATTAGTAACAGAACTTCGGGTCGTCGAAATTAGTCTGTAATCATACTCGTGATTAAACAAATCGGATTGACTCAGCTCAGTCCTGTCGCCATTGTTTGTTAATCAACAAACTGGGAAAGAAAGCCCATAAATAAGAAGACGAAAAAATAAATATGATGATAATAAGAGAAGTAAATTTTAGTTTTTTAAAACTCGTATAGAATCTCGCCAGAAGGGAATTATTTCCCATTGGCATGGAAGCCACACAAGCACGCACATGAACTGTTTTTGGCATGAAATAAAAGCTGGCAAAGAATTCAACATTATCAAAAACTCAAACTTCTGCTTCTTGTAGGCCACGTATTAAAAATTGTCGGTTAATGACTTTAAAGTCAATTTTAATTTTGTATATCGTCATTAGTAAAGTAAAACTGAGGTGTGTATAGTGCAGGAAAATTTTATAGGTTCCTTTTCTTTTCTTTGCGTTTTTTTTTTTTTCTTTTTCTTTCTTTCTTTCTTTCTTTTTTTTCCTTGTTTTTTTTTTGTAACACAAAAACGCAACTAAAAGTAGTTAAGACAATAAGTGATGGCTTAAGTTCTTGTAATATATAGATTTAGCAGGTGCTAAAAGCGAAGCTCTCGATAATATTTATAGTTTGTTCAAACAAAATATAAAAACGTGTAATGGTAAGTGTGATGCACGTGCAGCACACTTCTTTTTTTACGTCTCTTTGACGTTGTTTTGCACGACTACAACGTGAAACTTCCAGGTTTTATGTAAGAAATATCGTATGAGTTCTCGCTCACTTTTTTCTTTCTCATGGCAAGCTGCCACTTAATTTCACCTTGCATTGGTGGCCGCTAGCATTTCTCATTTTCTCACCCGTCCGCCGTTACAAAATTTTCATGTTGTTCTTCCAACAACAAAAAAATGTCTCCTTTGTTTTTTATCTCTCGCTCTAGATTTCTGCCGCCCTTTTTCTCGTTGAGCTTCGCTGGCCTGCCGCCTACTTTCTCTTTTTCTCTGTCTTTCTCTTGCTCTATATTCCAAATTGTGGACATGACAATTAATCTAAGCTTAATACAACACGGATACAGAAACAATTTCCGCTTTCCGTTTTTTTCTTTATTGACTCTTTTGTTGTCTCTGCTTTACAAGACGAGGGTGGCTATCCGATTTCCCGCCAAAATAACCTCGAGTTGCATTTGGATTGCCATACCTGTTGATTGAGTTAATTTATATTGGTATGCCTGTGGTGTGGACGGACGGGTGGACGCGCGGACTGACATACGGTCACGTGGTTAACAACATTTCTCGGATGGGTAGATAACCACATTATCTTACAAATGGTCCTCCGCTTCGCGCGCGAGAGCTCCGCTATAATGCTGTCAATGTAATACCTGTAAGTACCGGTGTTTAAAATTTTAAAAGAATATACTCAACAAAAACAAAATAAACAACGCTTTTGTTTCCCAAAGGTGTAAGTATATATAATATCATTGAACTTTTATTTTATTTGATATAGAAAAGTAATTAAATAATGGTCATATTCGACAGATCTCGCCTATGACTAACAAGTTTTCTTGTCTAATTACAGAAAAAGAAAGAAAAATTGGTTTTAAAACGTTTTATAGTGCCTCACTTGTTATTTTAATTTTATGTAAAAGTCTCTAGATTTGAGTCCTATTAATTCTTGTTTTATGTCTTTCGATACTCTTACGAAGTCGATAAACATGTTCGACAGTTTAAAATTCGTCTAGGGCCGGATTACATATGTCTCACTCTTAATCAGATTACTCTTGAGAAAGCCATTGGTCTAGATGGTATAATAAGTAGGTCATATTTCAGCGTAATATAATTCTAAATTCAACTCTTTATATATTTTAAACAGATGCAAGTCTCCTTGACTGTTTTAACCGTGTTGGTTGTAGTCCTCGGATGCTTTTGCAAAGAGGAAAACGCTGTCGAGAAGCCATTGCAGAAAAGATCTTTGAAAGACCCACTCAAGCTTCCAGCGGTGATGGCACGGAAAACACGCAAAAGGCGATATGTAACCACGTGCCCCTTTGATACTACTCGATGTGACAGCTGGACTGGTTCTTCCATTTGCTGCCCAGGATATAATGCTGTCTGCTGTTCTGATGGTTATCACTGCTGTCCTGAAGGATATACCTGTGTCAAAAGTGGTTATTCGTTGGTTCATTGCTCAAAGTACCTTGACAAGACAGCTTGATTTCAGCCGCCGGCATATTTTTGTTCTTTTTCAGCCAAGGAGTCACTAGTAGTAATGATACGCATTTATCGCACCAATCAAGGTCGATTCAAGTATTAAATAAAAATTATATTCTTTAAACAAATTCTTGTTGAAAGCAAAAGCTTACAACGACTTAGAGTTTGCACTCAGCTGTGTGATTGTTATAGACTGGTTATCTAAATTGTGCTTGTAGCTTTAACGCTTGGTATAATATAAAATAAATTTGCTTATGGAAGCAACGTTTTTGCATCTCTGTCTCTGTTAATAGTCCTGATTACAATACTGAGTGTCGGGAGAGGTGTTCCCCTTTCTTCTTTTCGTCTTTGATTTGTTTTGAATTAAAGGCGTGGCGAAGGTTTACAGTGTTGTTTAAGTTTCCATCGCGCGAGGAACACAGGTGGATCGCTAAGCGCTGTAGAATGTGATCTCTCATGGGCACGTGACAGAAATGTCAGTATTTTGGCTCGCTCGAAGGCATTAGGGGCGATGCATGAGGATCCGCATAGTGCTCCCGGTATTTTACTGATCCGTGACAAGACATTTTGTAAATCTTCCGTCCCTTAAATAGTCAGCTTATCATGATTGCGTGTAACTGGTTTTTGGAATTGGCCGATGAGATGACAGAATGTAACAATAACGACCACAACATAACGCCTAGCTATTGAAAACCATGAGCGGATGGCAAAGTACCTATAAGCTCCTATAGGCAAAAGTTTTCATAAATTTCCACCCCAGCGAAAATCGCACGGTGACGAGTGGAAGATATGAAAACTTATTTTATCTTATGTTATGGCGGATTTGGTGTTTTATTGAAAAATCATGATCAGTGCGTTGTTTTATGATGCGAGAGCGATTTCTAAGGCGGGGTTGGACACTATAACCCCTGCTTTGGTTCAATGTTGGAAAAGAGAAACTAAATCGAACGAATAAAGTGCCGCAAAAAAAGCAAAAAGAGCAAAAACAACAACAACAACAACAAAAGTCGATGTAAATGTATTTCCACATTTGCCTATATTTTAAAGCAGTCGAACAACTATATTATAGGGAATTTCCACCGACAAATGAACGGTTCGTTGCTCAAAACATCGTCCCTCATGCGGTAATTTATGCACCGAGTTTTGGCCGCCTTGGCCAGAGATAAACGGAAAAGGCTAATTATAAAAATATAAGCCCCCGCCCGGGGGCCTCTTTTAGGAATCTTACGGTATATTAATTAGTGTGGGTTGTTTTGGGTCGTTAAGCAGATTGTTGTGGGTCGTTTTGGCTCAGGTTTTGGCTACATTGTAGGTCCTCGTTTTAGTATACCTATGTCAAATCCCCTGTCACGCTTACTTATTAAATAGCCAACTGCTTCGCCTCCCGCCTGTTGGGATTTTATAATGAAATAGTGTGTTATTATGTTCACTTTTTAAAATTTGCTTTGTTAACCCTAAGTAAAAATCTCCATAAGGGGACAGAAAAAACTAAGTTATTATTATTATTATTATTATTATTGTTTTGACGATGATGATGATGAAGATAGTGATACGGAGGGTCTCAATGGTTTTAACCGATAGGCGTAAAACGGCCAAAAATTTAGTCGATAGCCGTAAATATTGAAAAATTTTAACCGTTAGCCGTAAATAGAGTAAAAAAGAGTTAACCGTAAAAGAAACTGTTCTCTAGATTTGCTACTTTTACGGGAGGTACTAAACTCACTTATGGTTGCGTTTTTTATTTCCCGGCTAGTGTGACTCGCGTACGCACGTTAGGCGAAGCGCCTTTTAGGTGTTAACCAAGACCTAGGCTCCATTTCCGCCACTCTCTCGGGGAACTAATTTCTTCCCAGTAGCGAAAGTGTGGCTTCTTGCTGGGGATTGATATTTGCGATTTTCAGGAGGTCGTGCCCTCGAAACACTAGTAAAACAACACGCAGAGATGTCACTGTTGGTAAAACACGATTTCCCTGTTTTTCTCTGACGCTACGGTAGACATTGCCATGCCTAGTCCCTGTACGGCGTCTTCCCACGCAATCTCGGTCAAGACATTTAAGCTGCGAACTCGCTAGGACCACGTGACCCTAAACACATTAGCCACGCGGAATAATGAGGCCTACGGACAAGGCAACGGCAGACAGTCGTTCCGTACAGTCCTTCGCTATCATTAAAAACACTGGACACGGGAATTTTGTTATTGGCTATTTTCACGCTAGAGCTAGAAATGGATTATCTGTCTGAGACTAGCCTGTGTACAGTCGCGCCCTTCCCATAGACACCCCTTCTCCGATTTTTTCTGAGGGGAGGGGGCAGCCATTCACAGGCTATCTGGAACGGATAATCCCGTCTTCAAACTGTCCGTCGAAATTGACGGATAAAGTCAGGCGGATTGTTCATTCAAAATTAAAACTATTCCATTTTCAAATTATAAAGTATTACCTATCTGACGCGAATCAACAAACGGATAACCCGTCTCACACGAATAATCCGTCTCTAGTGTGAAAACGGCCATTTCTGTTATTAAAATGAATGTGGAGGCCCGGCCTTGAATTGGGCGTTTGCGTGTCCGCTTTTGCTTTTTCACAAAGATTATTTTTAAATTGACTATTGACATTTCTATGTGTAAAATAATATTAGAAGTGAAATACTTTATAAAAAGTATGATCTATCAAATGTTGAAACCTTTGAAAAGAATAGCTTGTTTCATCCCGAGATGATCCGAAGACCTTTATTTTGATTTAAAGATACAAAAAATATAGGTTAATGAATATTTAAGTTTTTAAAACAAAAGAAGGTAATATTTAACTTTTTTGTTAACGGTAACTGAAAAAAATCAACCGATAGCCGTAAAAGAGCCAAACTGTTAGCCGATAACCGTAAAAGCCACCACCCCATTGAGACTCTCTGATAATAATGGACATTTGGTCTTTTTTAAAATTCATTTTGTTTTTTTACGTAATTATAAGTAACTTATGTGGGTCGACGTACTTACCGTGTGGCACCAAATATTTGAGGGAGTTTATTTTTGTGGATTGGCGATTTTTTGTGTTTTGTGGGAACTAATTTTTGCGATTAGGACAGACTGGATTGGTTTTTCTTCCCGGGAATTAATTTTTGCGGTTTTCAGAAAGTACCCAGCATTGAGAATATTCTCGTTCTTATTTAGTACGTGCAATCGAAATACATATTTTCAAACAATAAACCAGTACTTCGTTGTATACCGTTTTGTTTCTGAATGAAAGATACAAGTTGTGATTGAACAGACACGATTTCTTAGTACTGTATTTTTGTGTAGCGAACTTAAGTTAGAGAATATTTACTCTGGAGTAAATTTTTGCGGGAAAAATGTTTGCGGTAATTTTTATTTGTGGGAACTTGTTTTTGCCGATCCCTGGAAAAATCGCAAAAATTAGAACCCGCAAAAATCTCGTGCCACACGGTAGGTTCATAAAATTGTGTATAAGCAGACAAAAACTATGGTGTAAAGAAAATTGTAAACTTTGATATTTTTAGTTATCAGTGTAGTACCGGCCTGCGAGCAGCGGTTTCTCCAGGGCGGACGCTAAGCTACGATGGGAGAGAAACCACTGCGAGCAACCGTTTGCTTTTCCATCAAGCATGCACGTCCACGTGATGCCTACGTTAAAACGTCACATGGCATCACTTCATTTTGTTTCGCAGGAAACATTAGGGACTTTTATATTTAAAAATATCCAACGACAAGACGGCAACGAGAAAGTCAACAAAAACGTGCATCACGCGTTTTTGTGCATTTCTTTTGCCATTTTTGCACTACTACGACGTGAAAATGCCTATTTTCGCGTTTTACGGATAACGTAAAAAAATGAACGACGAAATTCCATTTCTCCTGGGCTGAATTTGGATATCCGGGTCCCTAAGAATTCAACTCCAGTTGCGTTCGCCTACATTCGACAAAGTAAGTAGGTAGGAATAATCCCAATGAATACTGAATTGAAAGAGCACAAATTCACAGCAGGCTCTCGTTCAGGCAGCAGTTGTAAACGTAAGAAAATGCGTGAGAGCCTTTAAAACTTGTTTGTAAACAGGTTTTACATGTTTAAAGTTTATTTGATTCATTTGCCACTGGCGCTGGACGGCGGCTCGATCAAAGAATCAGATTGTTGCTTGCAATGGTTTCTCTCCCTTCGTAGCGTAGCGCGGTCCGGCCTGGAGAAACCACTGCTCGCAGGGTATCAGTGCAGTTGCCATCTGTCCATACTGGTCCTAACTCCAAGTTAAGGGACTCGTTCTTTATCACGCAAGTTTATTGCATGGACATGCTCACCGCGCTGATTTCTTGTTGTACAGTATGAATTTGTTTCATTAGGGACTTTTATATCATAACCGAGGCTCTTTAAGCCCAACATCCACATACAAATTCTCCAGACTGATTTCCATTTATTTATTTATTCATTTAAAGAATTAGTTGCGAGATTTTGTGAAAGAAAAAACTTCAAAGCATTTTCCCCGTGGTTATCGTTGTATTCACTGTCATAATTGTCATAGTTTGCAATGTTAAAGTTGGTCAGGCCAGAGCCAGAGCAGCCCAAGGAATCGGTGTTCGATTTTCCCAAGAATGGCAACCTTTTAAATGTTGAATGGAGGGTGGCGTCAACTGTATTTTTATAGGTTTTCTTCACACAGTAATTTTCAGGGAGTTTAAATAACTCCTTACAGCGAAGTTTAGTTTTGGGGAGTTATTTTAACTCCAAAAAGGAGTTTAAAGAACTAAAAAGAACCAAGTAAGGAGTAAAAATAAGCCCATTTTCGGAGTTATTTTTAATTAACTCCAGACTGAGAGTAAAAAGAACTCTTTTTCAGGGGTAAAAATCACCTCAAACTTGGAGTTAAATTAGGAGTTAAAGTAACCCCCATAAAAGGGGTTATTCTGTACCTAAACATTTTACACCATTTTTGGAGTTATAATAAGTTTCTAAAAATTACTGAGCACTACATGCAATACAATTCCTCAACCGACCTATTATAAGTTTCTCTAAAACTCCAAAACATCTGTAGTGTTATCTTGCTTTCTTACGGACTGATCAGGTTCTTCACACCGGCCCATAGCCGTGCATCTGGTGTCAACAGGACAGCAAAAATTGTAATCACAACACTTGCCATGAGTGTAAGGACAGCAGTAATAGCCACCTGCATCAGTTATTGGACAACAGGTGGAACCAAACAGACATTCACAATCAAATTGAACTTTTCTGCTTATCGCAGCTTTGCCGGTTATAACAGACAGTTGAGGGTTGTAGGCGGGACGCTCGTCTGGTGTTTTCTCCACACGAATCAGGTGGAATGACGCATCTTCTTGGCAAAAGTACACCAGGAGTGCAATCAGGAGCAAAAAAGAAATCTTGTACCATTTCATCTGCAGAGAAAAAATTATATGATCGTAATCACCAGTTTAACCGAGTCCATAATGCACCTTGTTTGCTCCCCTCCCCCCATCCCCCAGTTTACCATACATAACCATTGTTTCCAATTTCTCCTAGGTATTCAGTTGTCCCTAGAAAAATCGAAGACGATGGTTATGCAAAATTTGGGGGGTAATCAAAGTGCATTATGGTCTCGGTGAAAATGGCGAGTTATTTATTGTGGTGGAGACACAACCTCGTCCCCAGTGGTTCCCCCTTAGAAAATGAGAAGAAACAAAAGCACTGGGAACGAGGTTGGTGGAGGAATTCCTGTTTTAACACGCCCGGTCGCTAATTCATCAGACATGACAAAATCTATGAATCGATTTATTTCTTTTGGACGCTTATTTTTTGCGAAAATACAGTCACGGAAATGACACTATTTAATAAGTTTAGTACAGCACACAGCCATTGAAATAGTATCTGTGTTTACGAGGTCATGATCTCTGTACGATTACATGTCGATATAGACATAGTTTTTGAAAATTTGTTTTCATGTTCAAGATTAACAAAGGATGTGATACATTAAAAAGTTTCCAACTGACAAACAGGGCAAGTTTAATTCCTTTTCATTGAATTTCAATTCCATATAAGACTTTCTGCTTAAAGCTACTGCTCAGTAATTAACGTTTCACACTGCATGTGGATGGTATCACGAAGAATTCAAACACACTGTTCAAACGTACTACGTCGCCCTCCACTTTATCGATAATTCGCAAGCAATATAAATTCTCAGTGTTATATTTTCTACACTCTACATATTTTACCTTATTTTGAAGTACATTTTCCTCGGCAGCTTTCGGTTTGTTTCCTTAGTTTCGTAGTTAGTTTTGTTTTGAAGGAATGTAGGTTTTAAAAATAACTCATGATACCATCATGATAACAGACTTCGTTTTCTTTCAAAGACTTCGAACTAAAATCTTGACGTGGTAACCTCGTGATACTAGCGAGAGAGGTTTGTCTGCGATCCCCTTCATTGCAGATTTTGGCTGCGACTTTGGCTCTTGTTATCTAATATAACATTTATTTGTTTATTTATATAAACAGGATAATTAAGTTATTATTATTATTATTATAATTGCTATTATCATCATTATTATTATTATCACTATCTTCATCATAATCATCGTCAAAACAACAACAACAATAATAATAACTTAATTATCCTGTTTATATAAATAAACAAATAAATGTTATATTAGATAAATAATCGACAAAGTCGAGGCCAAAATCTGCAATGAAGGGGATCGCAGACAAGGCTCTCTTGCTTGTATCACGAGTTTACCGCGTCAAGATTTTAGTTCGAAGTCTTTCAAATTAACGAAGTCTGTTATCATGACGGTATCATGAGTTATTTTTAAAACCTACATTCCTTCAAAACGAAACTAACTACGAAGCTAAGGGAGCAAACCGAAAGTTGTCGAGGAAAATTTACTTCAAAATAAGGTAAAATATGAAGAGTGTAGAAAATGTAGCACCGAGAATCTATATCAGTGTGCAATTTATCGATAAAGTGGAGGGCGACGTAGTACGTTTGAACAGTGTGTTTGAATTCTTCGTGATATCATGCACATGACTGTGTACTAAAACGTTAATTACTGAGCAGTAGCTTTAAGCAAAACGTCTTATATGGAATTGAACTTCAATGAAAAGGAATGAAACATGCCCTGTTTGTCATTTAGAAACTTTTTAATGTATCACATCCTTTTTTAATCTCGAACATGAAAATAAATTTCCAAAACCTATCTATATATCGACATGTAATCGTACAGAGATGATGACCTCGTTAACACAGACACTATTTAAATCGCTGTGTGCTGTACTAAATTTGACCTTAACCAAGTTTAACCAGAGCTAAATTATGCAACAGTAAAGTTCAAACTTCATTAAATAGTGTCATTTCTGTGTCTGTATTTTCGCAAAAAAATAAGCGTCCAACAGAAATAAAATGATTCATAGATTTTGTTTATGTCTGATAAATTAGCGACTGGGCGTGTTGCAACGAGAATTCCTCCATCAACCTCGTTCCCAGTGCTTTTCCATTTTTTGTTTCCTCCCATTTTCTAAGGAGAAATCACTGGGGACGAGGTTGTGCCTCCACCACAATAAATAACTCGCTATTTTCACCGAGACCATAATGCACTTTGATTACCCCCCAAATTTTGCATACAAGATGCATTATGGACTCGGCTAAAATCGTGATTACGATCATATAATTTTTCCTTTACAGATGAAATGGTACAAGATTTCTTTTTTGCTCCTGATTGCACTCCTGGTGTATTTTTGTCAAGAAGATGCGTCATTCCACCTGATTCAGGTGGAGAAAACACCAGACGAGCGTCCCGCCTACAACCCTCAACTGTCGGTTACAACCGGCAAAGCTGCGATAAGCAGAAAAGTTCAGTTTCATTGTGATTGTCTGAGTGGTTCCACCTGTTGTCTAATACCTGAAACTGGTGGCTATTACTGCTGTCCTTATACCCATGGTGAATGTTGTGATGACTTGATTTTTTGCTGTCCTGAGGGCACCAGATGCACAGCTCTCGGCCGGTGTGAAGAAACTGATCAGTTCGTAAGAAAACAGGATAACACTACAGACGTTTTGGAGTTTTAGAGAAACTTATAGCAGCTCGGTTGAGGAATTTTATTGCATGTAGTGTACAGTAATTTTTGGGACTTATTATAACTCCAAAAATGGAGTAAACATTTTAGGTACAGGATAACTCTTTTTATGGGGGTAACATAACTCCTAATTTAACTCCAAATTTGGGGTGATTTTTACTCCTGAAAAGGAGTTCTTTTTACACCCAGCCTGGAGTTAAAATAACTCCGAAAATGGGGTTAATGTTACTCTTTACATTTTTTTTTTTACCCTTTTTGGAGTTACTTTGACTCTGAAAGTGGAGTAAACATTTTAGGTACAGGATAAGTCCTTTAACTCCTCCATATCTGGGGTTATTTTTACTCTTGAAAAAGAGTTCTTTAAACTCCTTTTTGGAGTTAAAATAACTCCAAAAAAACTGAACTCCGCTGTAAAGAGTTAAATTAACCCCACTAGAGGAGTTATTTTAACTCCCTGAAAATTACTATGTGGACAAAACCTATATATAAAAATACAGTTGACGCCACCCTCCATTCAACCTTTGAATTTTTGCCATTCTTGGGAAAATCGAACACCGATTCCTTGGGCTGCTCTGGCTCTGGCCTGACCAACTTTAACATTGCAAACTAACGATAACAATACATAAATACGAAGAAAGGCTATGACAATTAATAAAATGATAACCACGGGGAAAATGCTTTGAAGTTTTTTTCTTTTAAAAAACCTCGCAACTAATTCTATAAATGAATAAATAAATAAATGGAGATCAGTCTGCAGAATTTGTATGTGGATGTTGGGCTTAAAGAGCCTCGGTTATGATATAAAAGTCCCTGATGAAACAAATTCATATTTACTGTGCAACAAGAAATCCGCGCGGAGAGCATGTCCATGCAGTAAACTTGCGTGATGGCGAACGAATCCCTTAACTTGGAGTTGGGACCAATATGGATAGATGGCAACTGTACTGATACCCTACGAGCAGTGGTTTCTCAAGGACGGACGCTACGCTATGAAAGGAGAGAAACTATTGCAAGCAGCCGTCTGATTCTTTGATCGAGGCGCCGTCCAGCGCCATGGGCGAATAAATTAACTTTAAACATGTAAAACCTGCTTAAAAACAAGTTAAGGCTCTCGCTTATTCGGCATACGCTTACAACTGCTGCCATAACGCGAGCCTGCTGTTAATTTTCACTATTTCAATTCAGTATTCTTTGGGATTATTCCTACCTACTTACTTTGTCAAATGTAGGCGAACGCAACTGGAGGTGAATTCCTAGGGACCCGGATATCCAAGTTCAGGCCGAAAATGAAATTTCGTCGTTCATTTTTTTACGTTCTCCGTAAAACGCGAAAATAGGCATTTTCACGTCGTAGGTAGTAGTGCAAAAATGACAAAAGAAATGCACAAAAAAGCGTAAAGCACGTTTTTGTGTTGACGTTCTCGTTGCCGTCTTGTCGTTGGATATTTTTAAATATAAAAGTCCCTAATGTTTCCTGCGAAATAAGAGGAAGTGGTGCCATGTGACGTTTTAACGTAGGCATCACGTGGACGTGCATGCTCGATGGAAAAGCAAACGGTTGCTCGCAGTGGTTTCTCTCCCACCGTAGCGTAGCGTCCGCCCTGGAGAAACCACTGTTCGCAGCGTACTACACTGATAACTAAAAAGATCAAACTTTACAATTTTCTTTACACCATAGTTTTTCTCTGCTTATAAACATTTTTATGAACCTACCGTGTGGCACGAAAATTTTGCGGGTTTTAATTTTTGCGATTTTTCCAGGGATCTGCACTGAAATAAGTTCCCGCAAACATAAATTACCACAAACATTTTTCCTGCAAAAATTTACTCCAGAGTAAATATTCTTTAACTTAAATTCGCTCTACACAAAAATACAGTACTAAGAAATCGTGTCTGTTCAATCACAACTTGTCACTTTCGTTCAGAAACAAAACGGTGTGCAACGAAGTACTGGTTTATTGTTTGAAAATATGTATTTCTATTGCACGTACTCAATAACAACGAAAATATTCTCAATGCTGGGTACTTTCTGAAAACTGCAAAATTAATTCCCAGCAAGAAAAACGGATCTGTCCTAATTGCAAAAATTAGTTCCGCAAAACACAAAAAATCGCTAATCCGCAAAAATAAACTCCCGCAAAAATTTCGTGCCACATGGCAAGTACATCCATGCACGTAAGTTACTTCTAACGTAAAAAAAAAGAAACAAACTCAAGTTTACAAAAAAAGACCAAATGTCCAGCCGCTTTGCATTTGCAATGTTAACATACACTAGAAAGTAAATTTACTCTAAAGTTAACACGCGGGCAGGTGTTTCGCTGTGTTAAAGGTTTTACTTGTAATAATTATATTGGGTTTAGAATTGTAACTGTGATTGTCAAGACATTCTATTGAAGGAGTACGGTCTCCCAACAACGAAGAGAGAAAACCAAACAAAAGGCTCTTGTCAATAAGGTAAGGTCGACGATGCCTTAAACTGCGACGAACTGCTACTATGCATAAAAGATTATTTGAATTTTTAATGAATTAAGGCATCATATATCGTACATGCGCTTAGGATAACCCGTCGGATAAGTAACCATCGCCGCTGCGAACAGTTGATCAGCATCAGTCGAATTCGTAAACGTAAAGGTAAATACATTACTATTTTATAAATCTCAAATTAAACTAAAAATGGTTTATTGATCTTCAACTCTCAGAAAAAAAGCACCTGAAAATGTGGTTTCCTTAATTTGACGCAAAATTCAACTATAATTATGCGGGTCGTAATATTTTGTAGTTACAATTTGCTCATATGAGTGAAAGCCATCTTGCTTTTGGTCGACAGCTCTGTGCTTTAACTTTTCATTTTCTAGCTAGATAATACGTCTAAAATAGATCTCTTTCAGTGTTACTGAAATAGCCATTCTGCATGGCGGTTATATATCAGGCGAGTATACCGCTCCATATTTTGAAACGGGGGATTTGTTTTCACGTATTAAATAGACTTAATTTGAATATGTGATCTTAATTTTTCCACCATCGTTACTGCTATAATTCTAACTTATATCAGTTGTTTTCCGGAACACTACTCTTTACTAAGAGGAAGATCTCAAACTTATGTTTATGACCAATAAGTTTCTTAAATTTCTTTGTCGACGTTAACCTTATAATCAAGAAATATTGCATGATCACTGGCCAAAAACCAGCATCGATCTACTGTACAGTTGTGCTATATTGTATACCCCTAGCTGCTTTTGCATTTTGAAATAAAGCCATTTTAGAATCCGAACTCATAAAGCCTTTAATGTATTATTATGAAAAATGTACAGTTATGAGACTTCGTTAACACTGGTATAATAGCATTATATTACTATTACTTTCCCCGAGAGAGTTCGTCGAATGGAGAAAGTTGGAACGAGAGCGAAAATCATTTTTTCTCGGCTTGTTCCTACTTTTGCACAAGAAATAGAGCGAAAACGCTCGCTACATAACAGAAGCTATTTAACTGAAAAGACACTAGTTTCTATAAAGTTTATCATAGTTTCGTTATGAAATTTTTCTTAAAAAGTTCGAGAACCCAAATCATGATAACAGTGGTTCTAGTAACAACTGGGCAATAATGATTATCTGCCGAATTTCAAATTTTAATTTATTTTATTTTCCATTGTCGAGTTACAGAATCGACCATGTTTTTTATGATCATGTAAAAAATCGAGTGTAGCCACGAGCCGAAGGCAATTTCTTAGCAAATCATTCCGAGCAAACGGAGCAAACATTTTTCATAAATAAATATGGATGCCTTTAACTTCAGATAAGAGGGAAAATGCGCCCGTTGCGATATTCTATATATTGTAGGCATGTGGAAGAACTCACGACCAATATCAGCAACATTGCAAAACATTCCGGTTGTAATAACTTAGGGCTAACATCTATCCTTCCTTCCTGCTATAGCTGCAGCAAAGCAAAATGCGAAAACAAAAATTGTATCTGAAGTATCAAACCGAACAACAAAATACATGACTCGCATAGGGTTACTTGTGGAGGAGTGTGTGGCCGAGCGTTTAATTAACACTTCAAACTCCGCATCTGGAGGTCCGGGATTCAAGCCTCGGCCGTCGCGTTGTTTCCTTAGATAAGCAACTTTACTCTGCTCCCAACTGTAAGTTTTCGCAACCTGTTTGGGGAGCTATATCTTTGTTCTCTTAAGACATATCACGGCAAATTTGGCAATTTAATTAATTTAACCGCTCTCTCCAGTGGCGGTCAACGGATTTTCCTTAACTGGTCCATGTAAAAAGGGTCTATTGGGCATTGGGCATTAATTTGGTAGACGGAACTCACTGCAATGATTGCTCGAGTGACTAGCCTGCGAAAACAGCCATTTCTCCTCGCTCCTCGCCGCTGGGAACGTTTCGCGAGGAGGAACGTCCGCGACTCAGCGACAGAAATTCCATAATGATGTTATGGGGTTATGGGGTTCCAAATGCAAATTTGCTCAATTTTCCGTTTCTTCTGGTCGATTTTGGTAAAATGTTGTGTTCATCTGCGAACTTCTGGAGAGGAATATATTCCACCAATATTGACTGTCTTGTTGTAGATACATCACGTTTACATTTGACCTTTGTTGCCTTTTGTCTTTTGTCTGTCCTTCGTAAACAATAGCTAAAACAATGCAACTACTCTGTCATCTCAGTAATCAGCGCTTGTGAACCGATTTCGGACAGATTTTACGTCATCAGCATGGGATTTCTGTCGCTGAGTCACAGACGTTCCTCCGTGCGAAACGTCCCCCAGCGGCGATGAGCGAGGAGAAACGTCTGTTTCCGCAGGCAATCAAGTGACCGCCAAACATAGCCTGCGTAGTATGGCGGTTTTGACGAGCGCACTATGGCGCGGCCAAGCCGCGAGTTCCTTCCTGCAGTTTCTTTCTCTTCCCTCGCCCTCCTTGGCTTGTTTGCGCGCCCGACCAAAACCGCCGCGCTTCGCATGCTTTCCATTTCGCAATTCCCCGCAATGTCCAAATCAACCTTCATTGAATCAGCAAAATACATAAGCTTATATCTCATTTTAAACTGACTAACTTCAATTTGCAGATGAATTGCTCCGCCGTTGCATTCGCTGTGCTATTTTTATCTCTGAGATGCTATTGCGAAAAGCTGGACCTAAACTCGGACCTTACTGTACCTTTCCATGTAATTGAGAATAGAGAGGATAAGACAATGAACGATGGAAATCAGTTAAGATCGCTTCATGGGGGAGTAAAGGCAATGAGCAAGAGAAATGTGAACTGTGGAGACGGCGAAATGTATTGCATGGATGGCCAGACATGCTGCCTCAGTGATTCAGGGGGCTTTGGCTGTTGTCCTGTTCCAAATGCGATCTGCTGCAGTAATGGAGTTCATTGTTGCCCTAAAGGTTATATTTGTGACTATGGTAGTGGGGGTTGCAGAAAGAGTTGAAGCTAATTCGTTTAGCACTTTCTTAAATGAAATGTATGTAAAGAAAAAAACAAGATCGAAGTATTTTTGAGGGATTTTATTGGATAATATGGGTAGGTTGGTCAAAGAGATCTCTTCTGTTTTGAACTTTATTTTAAGATAAAGAAACAATGCAAATGGGTTTAAGTGGAGTTCAGTCAAATTTTATGGAGTCATTAGCATAGAGACATCTTTTGAAGTCCTACAGAGGTTTACGTGAAGTTTGGAGTTCGGTTCTAAGAGGCATTTTCCTCGAATTCAGGCAGCAGACAATTAAAAGACTGAAGCTCGTGTTTCTACAAATTAAGACAAGGATTGCATTTACAACATTTGTAGTGACCAGGAAAACAAATAACAAGAAAAATAAATATTTATAAATAGGCATTTATGTATACTCTCTTAGTTAAATCACTCGATCGTTTCTGTCCGGGGTCAATTACTAAAGAGATGATCGAGTAGTCGGGAGTTAACCGCAGTCCTAAATTACAAAACTGAATGTGATTTTTGCTGGAATTTAATTGATGCCTCTTTTTTTACATATCCGGCCCTTTAAAATACTCCTACTTCGATAACATTTATCTCACGCCGATACAGATTGTTACGCCAGTAGACTTTTTTCCCCCGACTGTTTAAGGTTTTAAGGGTTTAAAACACGGTTCGAGTTATCGAGGGTAAAATCATATAGCCAATATGATCTGAGGGGAAACAAAAATTACCTCGAGTTAGCGGGAGGTTCGAGTTACCGAGGGCAAAATTACAGTAACTCTGTATGAAGAAAATCCAGGGGAAATCGATTTTGGTTTGAGTTATTAGCGCGAGTTTCGAGTTAACGAAGGTTCGAGTTATTTCTCTTGATGGGTACAGGTACTCTAAGTAATGATTTCAGCACCGAATAGACCTTTTCACGGATTTTTTCAACTTTTGCCGTTGACACGTTCGGGACAATCCGTCGATACCACTGAAAAGAGCGCCTCAAAATTTAGTAAAATCGCCAAGTTTGAAAGTGATTTGTTAAAAGCTAAGATACACCTCAAAAGTGGCGAAATGTTACAGACGTCAGTAGATTTTCGCAACTTTACGGGGCTCATCTTCGCTCGCTAAAGACGTATCACTTTCAAATTAACGCGTAACTAATTTTAAGGCGCTTTTTCTGGTGGTATCGACGGATTTTTCCGTACTGGTCCATATAAAAAGTTGAAAAACCGTGAAAAGGTCGGATCAATTTAGGTTTCCGGGAAACTGCTCACCTACCCCTCCCCTAAGCCACCATTTTGCCCTAAGTGAGAAGTAAGTGATGATGTTGGCTTAGGGGAGGGGTAGGTGGGCAGTCTCCCAGAAACCTAAATTGATCTAGAAGGTCTTTTGACCTAAGAAGCAATATCGTCGTAACAAAGCCTCTTAAAAATTCACCAATAACAAACATAAACAAGTTTTATCAGATGTAAACACACTTTATTAGAATTAACGTGATGGTACACAGGGCGATTCGCAACGACGCTTTTTAGCGCAACACAGCTTTACAACATTGTTGCGATATTGTTACGGATAGAAACAACACTTCAAAAGTAGGTTGAGTTTGACGGACGATCAAACTCAACCTTCTTTTGAAATGACTCCTGGGTTCAAACCTTTCACAGAAACAACACTGTTCCAACATTGCAAAGCCATGTTGCACTAAAAATCGTCGTTGTGAATCGTCGCGTGTAACATCACCATTGCAGTCTTTGTGCTCTTTTCAATTAATTTAATAAATATGTTATGTAAAAACCTTAAGATCTATTTACAGGGTTCAAATACACAATCAAGATCCAACAAAGATTGGCATCAAATTTCATATGAAAAGAAATTCCAGTTTCACGATGACGCCATGCAAAACCAAAAAAAATCCTTGGTCACGTATATGGAAAAAAAGATGTTTTCTGTGGGAAATTTAAAAACAGCCGAAAAAACTTGTTTAATGAGGTGACCGGTCATTGCGAATATACCAGAAATTCATTTGCTAGCGTCTTGGCAACAAAATTGTGAATGTACAAAAGTTCCAAATTAGGGCGAAAATTTTTAGCCAATAACTTTCTCATTGTTGTTGTTTTCGAACAGTGAATCAAAAAATTTCCTCTTTGAAGGAAACTATAGGACACAAGGTGTCAGTCTCTGCGAAAGACTTACAGCACAACTCGTGTTGAGGGCAACGTTTTAAACGTTGAGAAACGACCTCGTACATAAATATAGCATACTAACCTAAGGGAAAATTATAGAAAAAATGTTACTCGAACTCGAGAAAACTTTCCACGCTGACACGGCCAAATGCTACAGTGGACAAAATTGATTACGCGCAATGTTGCAAAAGTAAAAGCAGCTTCGACTGCTGCAAAATTGTGCGCAACAATGTCCGTAGCTTACTCAGATAGCACTTTAGAACCGCATGCACTATCCTACCAGGAGAGCCTTTCTTTCGCCTGCTTGATTTTAGGGTATTCGAGGAAAGACTCTGTATGAATCGAGTAACATCTTTGTTGAGCATGTGCGGTATGTTGCCAGGATTTTTTCGAACCCAAGCCTAAAAGCCGGGCAATTGGTACAGTGGGCTCAGTTATGACTGACGGTTTATTTTTACTCGGTTGCTCGTCCTCGGAAGAAAAAAAGAAAAGTTTGACGAGATGAAACAAGATTGACTAACCGAGAAGGAGTTCGGGCTGCGGCGACTGCAAAGGCTTGACTTTATTCAGGCAGAGACTGTAATTCTCTTCCTAATCCAAGAAGACAAAAAATGGGACTACCTACAAGGTGCGCATGTACTAGCCTTGAGTTAGTCCTTGTTCAAAGCACTGAGACGCAAATTTCCTTTCCGTAATGGTCGCTGCCATTTTTACAATGAAAAAAGATTGACCTGTTATTGAGAGTGTTTCTATTAAAAAGAACGAAGACCGCAACCCAGGTTTGAACCTGGACCTTTCGTATGATAATCTCTCTCCCTTACCCAGGGCTTCTGATATTTCGCGCGGTCGCGGAGCCGTGAAATTCACAAAACACGAAAAAGACCGCCAAATTCGGTAGAAATCTTATCAAATACATGCCTGTACAACATAGTTGAAACATAGGGGCTATTAACTTGCCGTAAACTTGCAAATTTATCTTGGAACTTCGTCACTGAAACGTGCAAACAACGTCCCGACACTACCAGGCGTAAATTATGTTGCGAAAAACTGGGCACTAGCCATGATGTTAAAAGCTTTGCCATTGGTTCATTTCTGGAGCGTATTGTTGTTGAAAGAGCAAATGATGAACTCTGTTAGAAAACGTTAAACGCTGGTCTGATCAGCGCAAAACCGATCGATTTCTAGCGAAATTTGCCTTGAACATAACCACAAAATCGACCGTTTTTTGCCGATAGCTTTTTGTTGAAGTTTGTCCCCAAAAATTTCCGCGAAATCGGCGATTTTTCCGCGAATTTGTCCCTAAAAATCCCGCGAAATTTGCCTTTTTCTTCCGCGACCTATCAGAAGCCCTGCTTACCACTACACTACCACACCGACACACCAAAATTCCGAACAAATTAAGTACATAAACAGCAGACTGTCTTTCTTAACCGATACATCAATAACAGGTGACCCTAGCCCATTCCATAACTTTTAACGTAAATTCAATTTAGCCTTCAACGTCGTTCTTTCTAAGCCTATTAAAAAACGTATCGTTTGCTTTATTGTAGCTTCATCCAGGGAATATATTACATCTATCATGACTAAAGACTTGGTTGCCAATGGTGGCATCGACCGTTAAAAATCAGGCAACGACCGTTTACGAAAGGAAAATAGGCTGCACCGAACCTTAGCACGTTCACTGCATATAAAGGTTTGTTGCTGTAGAGTGTGCAAGTAGATCGAAATCCTTTCATTCCACACGTACCAAACGTCACACACATCATAAGCCATGCCACCCGCTGTCGTGACTTGGAAGGAATAGTCAGTTCTAAACTTTGTTAAATGGATTGTACGGGCGCGTTAATGTCACCATCTTTGACATTGGCCCTTTGTGTCTGAATGGCGACAGTTGAACTTTTGATGGCAGTTTGAGCTCCCTGTTGACAAGAAACGTTCAAGATTCAAATAATGTTCGCCATAAAACAGTTCAAATGAAAGCGAGGCAGAAGGAGACACAAGATTTTTTAACCTTTCTATTTTTTTTATATGATGATGTTCACGGCCTTTTCAGCGTAAGAATGACACGATATGCACATGAACCAAAACAATGTCGTCTCGCCTCGCCTCTACTCAAAGGCCTGGACACTGAGCACACAACTGTAAAATGGTCTATCATTCACCGTTTTTATTCATTTGCCAGTTTGTTCGTTTTCTACTTAAAAAAAAAATAACGTAAACTAGAATTGGGCCCATCATCAGATGAAAAACCTCGAATTTCGTCAAAAATTCTTAGCCGCGCGTTGTGTTTTCAACTCTTTTTTCGGTGTTTCATCTGGTGATGGAACACTGCGTCTCATGCTTGATACTCAAAGGGCGTTAAACGGCAAACAAATTGATTATTCATTCAAGTCCGAAAAGAAACTCGGATGTACCTAGAGGCTTACCCACTTTATCTCAAATAATCTCAGAGTTTAAAAATCCTGACGAGACAATCTGAGCGATTTCCGATCAGTATATACCCATACCTGTGAACTCTTGCCGTTGTACAAGTTTTTGGATCTGGTTCTCTACTGTGACTTGGATGATGAGCTGAAAACAGCACACAACCAGCGTAACCGGGGATATTGCCACGCCTGACAATACGAAAATAAATGTGTTAAGGCCAATGTCAGCGAATTAAAAGCTGTAATAAGAAATGCACCATAAATCATCTTACAGAGTTAGGCTCTATTTACCAATAAACGGGAACAAAAAAACTTACTTTGCTGTGTCTGTATATCTCGGTTTTGAAGCCCGTAATACAGCGATAGGAATAAAGGTTTTTCTTGGATGATCTCTTTCTCCGTAACCAGGGGAATGTCCACTGAAAAAAACGAAAACGTAACGCTTACAGGAAGACAACGAACGGTCTACTCCCTAAGGGACTCTGTTAACAAACTAATTGTCACATTCCCGCGAACTAACTTCATGAAGAACAGCTTCAGTTCCCTGGAACAGCCTGCCCTGTGATATGAGAGAGGCTAAATCTTTAAGTCAATTTAAACGATTGGCTCATCTGAATTTTTGATTTTTTAAGTAATTGTGTACACCGCATTCATGAAAAAACAAGTCTTAGCTAGGTTAGTTGTAGATAGTTTTGCATAGTGTTTAGGGTAGTTAGGTTTATGTATTTATTTATTTTTTATACTCCTGATGAATTTTACTGTGTTAAAATAAAGAGTTATTCTATTCTAGTTTTACAGTCATGATTGATTAATACAGTCTATCCTTTATCAGTGAAGAATAATTAGGGCAGGGGAGGGAGGGGGCTTATTAACTTCCTTTCCCTGAAAAGAGGGGGCTTATTAGAGGATTTACGGTATTTGATGATTTTCCTCTTTTTAAACTGTCAGCAATTAGCTTCATGTACGAACAACTGACTTGTGATTGTAAATGTTCTACGGGTTGTTTCAAAATTTTAGCTTTCACATCACTTCCCCGGGGGGTTAGATACTTCCTATGGCCTATAAGGGGTGGCTCCACCCAAACGGGGTACAGGTACCTATTTCCAGGCCTTAGATATATGAAAGGTAGGAATCTCACTTGTTGAAGTATATAAAAGGGTAGTTAAATATGTCATTCCCGTCTGTAACAAGCCTAAAGAGGCATTTCAAAAACGTTCTGTTTTTTATGATTTATCCATATTTAACATAGAGTGTTTTTGCGGCAGTAAAAGGGATGCCAGGCTCTTAACTACATGTAGGTATAAGAAAGGGGTACCATTTGTCAAAAGAAGATATACAAAAGGCGTACGTTTTCTGCCAAAAAAGGTACAATGTATATGCAAAAGTAAGTGGTTGGGTCTGAAGGCAGAGCCTCTTTATATAAAACTTTGTTGAGTACCCCATGGATCATATTTCACAATGTCAATAATATAGGCAAAATGTATAGCACACAAACTGCAGTTACAAACTTCAGAAAAAACAAACGCATTTTATAACTGACTTTCATAATAATTCGAACTTGAGGCAAAATGGTAGTTTAAAAGTCGTTCCTTATGGCCAGATCAAGGTAAAAAAATAAATGCAAAGCAAACCTGTATCCCGGGATATGCCCAGTCTTCTTGCTTGGGCTGCAGCTATGAAAACATAAAGAACAATTCATGTCAGGATAGTAAAATAGGCTTCATCCCATCACATGTGAAGGATGGTAGTAATCATTGTCCTGCCCTGATCTGAGTGAAAAAAAAAAAAACTGCTGGACTTCAAAACAATTCTTTTTCTTTCCTCAAAACTAGGTATTACAACACTAAGCATAGAGTACCGAAGTGATGACGTCATAAAAATGAAATTTGTGAAATTATGGGATTTGTTAAGCTATTCTGAAAGAACAACGTCCAAGACGCCTACTCGCCAAAAATTAGCAATTTGGGGCAAATTGTCTCTGAGATATTAGCCCAGTTATGCTCTGATGACTCCATACAAATCCTTCTAAATTTGGCTTGGTTCATAACATTAGGAACCAGGTAAGATTTAGAAGGATTTGTATGGAGTCATCGGAGCATAACTGGGCTAATACCTCAGAGGCAATTTGCCCCAAATTGCTAATTTTTGGCGAGTAGGCGTCTTGGACGTTGTTCTTTCAGAATAGCTTAACAAATCCCATAATTTCACAAATTTCATTTTTTATGACGTCACACTTCGGTACTCTATTGGCATGAGATTTTAACATCCTAACCCCCACTCCAGTGCTGTCGATTGACTGCCAGCGCATTCTTGACCTACCCAAAAATGCAGGCTGTTTAGCAGGCCAAACAACTGCCGCTTAAAGACACTAGATACTTACTTACATGTAGTAAGTTATAATTTAAACTGCATATATTCATGTTATTTTCAACTTAAGTATTAAACTATTTTTTTGTTTTAACTTTTTGCCATTTCTAACCTGGGCCCTTCCCAAAACTCAGAACTGGCCTGCCAGACCGGTCAGTTTAATAATGAAATTTCTTTTTCAGATTTTTGCAAACCTATCACTGCTGTGTCCACCACCTATTTAAGAATAGACTCCATGACCTGGCTGGATAGTCCTGATTAATAGTAGAATTCTTCTTATGACTGGACTTTCTGGCCTAGCTTGCTAGTTCTACCAGTCACAGAAGACACACAACCACACTCCTAATATCTCACTACATGTAAGTCCTACTGCTGTAACTTTATAAATTTCAAGATCTGATTTCTGCTACCTGTTTGCTGCACTTATTCATTCTTCCTACATTACTTTTTAAATCCTGGAGATCCTATTTTGCTGCACTTGATCTGCTCATTTATCAACAACTTACAAATTGGTGGGTCCATAAGTATGGTATCCATTCCTTGACTGCACAAAATCCCAGCTGTGTGGTCTGCTACCAATTTGCTGAAAACCAAAAATAGAAAATCAAAGTAAGCAAAACATCATTAATTTTTTATTCATACAGTTAACTCTCTTTATTACAGAGAGCATCTCTAGAGTCAAACATCTTTTCTCGGGGATTTTGCGTAAACGAACTATAATTATCAGGGTGTCCATGAGGAAAGAAGCTGGTTGTAGAAGAAATACAGCCTGTGGAACCTCAATATACATGTAATGAAAGGTCAAGGGATATACCGGTAACGAGGTTTCGATATATCAAGGTTTTTCCCCAAATATTTTACAGTTACTAGGGTAAACAATTTCATTAATTATATCAAGGGCTTTGCTATATATTTAGGTTTGTTTATATCGATGTTCCACTGAATCTGTGACTCAAATGACTAAAACTGATAAGACCTCTTTTGATTGAACAGAAGACTTAAATGTAAATAAAATACAAAATCCTAACCTGCCAAGTTTCAGCCTTGGGTGCATATCGCTTGTTAGCAAATCTGTAAGACACCATGTCTGGCTGCAGCTCGACTGTAGTGGGCGGGGGAGGGAGGGAAGGGGGGATTCTGGAGCTCCAATCAACTCCACTGTATAACCTGTTGACAAAGAAATGAAGAAAGACATTGGCATCTTCTCAAATCTACGTGTAATTCCATGCAGTTAAAGGTGAAAAATAAGACTAACAAAATTATGTCGAATTTCCTGGTTGTCAAATTATGCAGCCAAATGAGATATTACCAAATAAATCTCTTTCATTTAATCAGTGGTCATACAGACTTGTTCTTAAGTAGTAATCAAGGCCATCAATACGAAACTCGACTACCTCTCAGTATAGACCTCATTTTTGTAGAACAAGTATAAAGCAGTCAGTATCCTTTACCGAGGACCTAAAATCTGGAATTCGTTGCCTATTTCACTAATTGGCTCTCCTTCTATATTTGTTTTTTTTAAAAAATTAAAAAATTATCTCACTGATAGCCGATCTGTTGCTTAATTTTCTGATCTTGCTCACTCTGCACTCAGCCATGTAACTTGAATGATCAATCTCTGACATTTTGAATATGTACAATCAGCCAAGGCTAATTTAATTCAAACAATAAACTTGCAACCAATGTAAAGAAATCCACTTAGAGCTGAGCCTGTGATCTGTTAAAAACTAGTAACTTAATTGTCAGCAGAGAACATAAAAAACCATGTAACCTCAATGGGTAGACACCTGAGGCCACATTATGATCATGTGCTACTGGTCAGGAGACACCCTTGTTTGACAGCTGTTAATTGACCCCAAAATAAAAGTACAAAATCAGATGGCAGGGTCCCACACCAGTTATAAGGACTGCATAATTGCTTTCTGTGGTAAGGACAGACGGGCGGACACACACAGTGACCACAAGAGTACCAAAATTTATTGGATGGATGATAAACAAATTGTCTTGAGTTAGCTATATGCATGGGCGTGGAGCTCCGCTAATTTTCACAACACGTGTGGTCAGAATACAACTACCTGTATAAATGTAATCAGCTGTAGGGTACGTTCTAATAATAACTGTACGACTACACTTGTTTTTTATTTCAGGGCTTAGAGAACTGCTGGAATTTTTCTGGACTAAAATTTAAGAAAATTAATTGTCACTTTAACAAACAAGCAAATATATATTAAATACATACTTTTGTGTTTCTGATGTATAAAATGCTCTGGTGGCAACAGCATCTCTCCATTCTTTGTTCTTTAACAGTTCACTAGTAGGAACCTTAAAAAACAAATATTAAATAAATAATAATTTAAAAGAATAAGAGATAATTGGTAATTAAGAAATTAGTAAGAAGCCACTGTAGAGTAGGTTGCTGGGGAAGGATTCTTTCATAAATGAGAATTTTGCTTTATTGAAAAGCAATATACATTGACGTTTATAAGTATGCAATGATTAATTTTGGGGTAATACAGCACATGTCTATAAAAAACCCTCAGAGATTTGGTTAAAAAATGGAAGAGAAAAGTCAGTACTTTATGATCTACTCATGAGCTTGGCCTACTCAGTACCCTATTTTCTGATTTAATGAAACTTTTTTTAGACTAATCTCCCGGGGCACTTTAGGAATTTCTGGGTGGGGATGTGCCGCTGGGACCCTGGAACCCTTGACCTATTACACAGCTAGTTCAGCTGAATTTTGCTACCCTATACTAGAGTAAATTCCCAAAATCCCCCTATCCTAGAGTAGCTGTTTCCCCAGTCTAGAGAAAATCTTCAACCAACTGATCAGTTTCCTGAAAAATGATACCCTATTCTAGACCCAAACGCTCTGATTTATATACCCTATCCTAGAGTAAACTGCTTGAAAACCATACCCTTCACGGTGGCACATACCCATATAGCCCATATATGGCAGTACCCCCCCGAGACTAATCTCCATGGATATTAGGTTCAAGTTAGCTAAACCAGGAATGAAGTAAAAACTATTAGACTTTCATGACGATTAGTTTTGTGTTTTTTTAAATACTCAAAGAGTTACTTCATGTACGTGTAAGTTTGTTGAGCAACGCTTGTCAAGCTATCGCCCATAAGACTGGTTTTCAGAGTCAAAGTTAAACAATCAGAAGAGTAGAGCATTTATGATCCACTAAAAACAGAATTCTGATTCTGCTGATGACTCCATCATGCACTTATGAGCTAACCTAGTGAATACTTGGTTGTCAGTATCGAAAGCAGAAGCACAGGAACTAAACCAGTTACAAAGCATGGGAAAAAGCATTGTGACTGATTTATCCTTCCACTTCTGCCTCCAAATCCAACAGTCTGGTTTTCACTAGACTGTAAGCAATTTTGGAATCTTAAGTGGAGTGGAAAGAAGAAATTAATGGGAATGTTCTGATTCTTCTGACCTAGATTACGCCTCCGCTTACAAATCGCAAGTATTTTAGCACTCTTACAACTTCATCTCCACAGAAAACCTGATCAGCAACATCAGAGCGAGGTATATAAATACCATCTTTAAGCTACCTTTTGTGATGCAAGGTCTTTTGCCTCTCTTGATCCAGGAAACTGACTTGGAGATTGCACAAGCTGTTCTAGCTCTAAATAATGATAATAAAATTAGCGATTTCCAGTTCCATTCTCCACATAAAGCATATATTTGCTTGTTACCAACAGGCAAGAAACGCTTGAGAAAGTTTCATAGGTGCTTCTGGCCGTACACCGGAAAGCCCCATGGGAAGGTAGGAAGCGTGACTGAACATTGTCACGCACAACCATACGTAGTAACGTAACTCAAACGTGGTAATAAAATGGAGTTCATTTTTCTCCCAGTGTGATAACAACTTAAATCAGTAAAAAATTTAACCGTAATACATCTGGTTAGAGAAAAAAGAAAACACTTAGTTTGAATCAACTAAATTTAAACAAAAAGCACTGACTGACAGTTTACGGTTGTCAACGCTTGCGTTAGTTAGAGTCATAATACGAGACCTTACCTTTATTTTTGGTTTCCCAGGGAGCATTTTGACTTCTCAAGTCAGGAATGGGTGAAACAATAGGTCTACCATACGGAACAGCTGATTGTGGCCGATGATCTTTGTTCACTAGAGGTTCGATCTGTTTATAATTACCATCTTCCGCATCAGCACCTACCGAAGTAAAGCCACTTATAGGATCGACGACCGGAGTATCACTGCGTCTTGGAGCGTCCACACGACGCTCCCCTTGCTCAGCAAACCGGCGGAAAAACGCCTCGTCTTTCTCTTGAAACGAGGGAATGTCATAAGTGGTAAACGTAGAGGGAAATCTGCCGGCCGCTTGTTGTCGCTTTAGTCTTTGATCCGTCGCCACGGAGTCCTCGGGTAGGTGGAGACGAAATGTTCCGAACGGAGGCCGGGTGAGAGAAGAGTTTGACACCACGGCCATCACTTTGCGGTGAATAAACAAGTCTCTTAACTCCTTCTGATCATAACTGTGAATTAATTGTTGCTATGAATATCAGCAGATTTCTGATATTGATAACGAACAACCCCAGTGTTCTGGAACGCCGCGGCCGAATCAATTATCAACATGCGGTTGCTAAGGAAGCAAACATCGCGGGCTCAGTCTGGTTCGTCCAACCAAAAAGAAAAAAAATTATCGCAAGTTGGAGTGCAAGGTGATTCAAAGTAAATTTATTTGGAGGTTCGGTGATTTTACAGGTGAATTTAAACAGCCTTTCTTTATATCCAAGCCAGCAAGCGCCCCGGACGGCTTCTTATGCCGAGTAAATTCATATCTCCCGAAGGCAGGCGCAATATGTCAGGGGCACCAATCAAAAATATAGTTCAAAACCATTTAAACGTAGCATTGTTGAACGTATTTTGGTATTTAAACGGTAGATATAGGCATATTTTTATCCCCTAAAAATTTTTCATCTATTTGGATTTCTCCTGCGGCACTTGATAAATTAATTTGAATCCCAGCTGAGTTACTGCGCGATTAATGCAACCACGCCTTTGCCGTCAAAAATTTTCGAACGTACAGGCTAACGGACCTCCATTTTTGCGTTCAAATTTATGAAAGGCTACTACGCCGTGTAAAATTCCTCCAATGAGGTGTGAACGCAGCCTGAGAAGAATTTTACCGAGCGGTGAACAGACCAGGGCAACCTTGTTCCCAGGTTCTCTCTTCTATCCGTCTCTCCCTCTCTCAGTCTCGCTCCGTAGGGACGGGTTGAGGGACGGGTAGGAGAGAACTTTGGGGACGAGGTTGCAGACCAGGGTTTAATCCCGGTTTCTTTTCCTTTGGTTTAAAAGCATCTTTTTAGATAAATTTCCCTAATATTTTGTAGAGTTGATACAATCATCGAATTGTAGACAAAAATAATTTTAATCAGTTTAAAAACTGAATTTACCTTTTAAGCTTTCATGTCTGAATTCAAATTTGGCGCTAACCCCAGTTTATCTTAACTCAGCTTTGAACAACTCGGCCCTGCAGGGACCCGTTTCTCGAAAGTCCTGGTAACTTTTCGGGCCCGAAAAGCTGTTTTACGTTTGCTGTGTTTGCAGTTCAAGATCAATCAGTTTTCCATAATTTTAAAAATGTTAAAAAAAAATTGATCGGGTTGTGAGCTAGGGACTGTGCTACTTTTCAACAGGGTTTCACTTCAAAATTTGCCTTCGGACTCGAAAAGCCACCGGACCTTTCGAGAAACAGGACCCAGTTCAGAGTGCTAACTTATTCATTTACCAAGTAGACAGTTCGAGTGCAACGGGAAGGTTAAGACAAAAGAACACAAGTGTAAAAAACTTTGCTTTAAGTATTTGAACGAAGCGAACTACGTACGATCAGTTATTCTTGAAAGTGAAAATGACATTTTATTTGCATGTAACATGAATACAACTTGCTTGTTTGTTGGGTCACAGGCAGCCTGGACGTACTGTAGGTCAATACCAGCAAGAATACATTAATATTTATCAAAATTTAATATAAGAAGTGTACTTTTTACTTAGTGCATACTACCTCCAAGTGCAGAAACGCGAGAAAATGCACAGATTTTTTCCAGCCACCAACAGCAAGAAAGCCGTTTTTTTAAAGGTATATATATGAGCTTTGTTTTGAAATATTTTTATTTCTATGCTCCATATATTCAGTCCGATCCGTTATCAGACTGTACGGAGAGCGTCGGATTCAGTTAGGAAATTCCTGTGGAAAAATAACCAGGAAACTCAATAGACAATGATTAAATAGTGAAGGAACATTAAACTGGAACTATTACATATATATATTTGTTGGTTCCTCCTCAGTCGAATATATAGCCGATCTGTCCGGCTCCCTCTTCTGTCGATCTCAGGAGTCTTCTGTCAATCTATCAAACCCTCATAATGTGTTCTCACTGTCTGTGGTTGGACTAAATTTGCTCCAGGCGTTTGATACCATTGATCATGTTATCTTATCTTACAAGAAAGACTTATAAGCCCCGTTTACACAAGTCTGCGCAAATTATTGAAGGGACAAAAAATTGCACGGATCAGATGCGCCATCGTTGACACGGAACCCTCGAAACCATGCGAGATATTCGAACGGTTAACAGAGCAATTTTTGACTATCAAAAGTAGGTCAAAATTTTTGACCGATATACGATTGCACTTTTACGCGGACTCATATGTAAACTGAATGAACCGTGCTTCTTATCATTTCTCTGAAAGTCCCTCAAAGAGGGATTCTTGCGGCTTTAAAATTTTCCGAATGATATGCATAGAAGAACTTAAACTTACCTTTAAGGTAAAACCAATTGCTGCTGTGCGGAGGGCAGTAAGGTTAATGTCAACTAAGGATCCTTTAGAATTTAGTGCATAATAATACACCGCTACAATATCGCTCTCGACGTAAGCACAAATCATGCATATACTGAAAAACAGAGTATACCGCGTGACACTTGCGTGCTTGTTTAGGATCATTATAAAAAGCGCATTACAGACTGTGCACAGAACGTTGTTGGCTGCAAAATAAAAAGCCGGACTAGGCTGAGTTACATAAGCCTGAGAATATGGTACTATTATAGCAAGAAGAAGCAGATAAACGTTTGACGAAAACCAATCACTGCGAATAACTTTGGGATAGTTGGATGAAACGGTCCACGTGGCCTTACAAACAAACCAACTGTACATGAAAAAACAAAACACCTGAAAAGTTGACCACCATAGAGCTACGAATGTCGAGAATTTCCGGTAGTATACGTTTTTTAGGTAGCGTTCATCATCGCTTTGATCAAATCTGAAGAAAGACAGCCCTCCAGTAGATATACCTACCGGAAGAGCTGCTGTTATTAGAATCAGATAGCATAAACACACAGCGGCTTGGCAGAAACCTTTCCTGATGTGGTTTAAAATACTTGCAATTCCCCATTGGTGCCTTGTAAAGCCATCACGCACACATTAATGACAAGCGGCTGTTCCTCATTTCCTGAGGTTGTTTCGTCGTTTGTTCCTGACTGTAGATGTTGAGGCTCTGTTTGGATCTGTTCGCCTACTTCCTTGTTCGGATTTTTTCACTTTCCCTGGCAGCAGTTTCGTTACCACTCCTTTGATGTTTGTTGAGGTCCCGGCCACCACATCGCAGCCACTGAAATTTGAACTCTGAACGTCTCATCCACTCGACAAAATACATCAATGGCCCAACGAGAAACCACAGACAAAGATAATCTAAGTACGATTTTATTTGTTTCAGTACATTCAAGTACGGCGGCGGAACCTTGATTTCAGCGTAAGCACTGTCTGCTTCTGAAAGCATGAAGCTGTATTCATTCTCACCAACCCGACTTGACTCGCTGTCGGATGACCAATTGAGACAAAATTTGCTATACACTACCGGAATCAGCACTTTTTCTTTACTGATAGGTACAGTTGTTGGTAGATTCGTTAACTTAGACGTAAAGCTTGCATTATTGACGCCATTAAAACGTATTAAAATTGCATATCCTGCATTCTGTGCAGTCAGCGCCAGACGTTTTAGAGGGCACTCAGTTTCATTGGCAAGGGTGACAAGAGCGAACTTGTGACTCGTGCACTGACTTTGCTCACATCATCTAGCGGTTGACAAGCATTTGTGAGGTTCAAATACACAGTTATCCCGCGTACAGACGATAGTATATGGTTTTCCTCTGTTGCCATTGCTCGAATTACAGACTTCAATAACGGTGATTTAAATCCTTTGGTTTGTGACGTGGTCTCCGATAAATAGCACTGCACTCTTTCCGCATCATCTGTTGCTGGGGTCGAAGGTAATGTTAATGTTGGGTTTCTTATACTAATGAGGACGTGCTGAGAGACCAGATAAAGTGCGATGTACACGGTCAAAGAGAGGAAACCAATGCAACTGCTTATAACTAGACACTTCCCCGACATCTCTGTATCCCCTGTCGCTGTTGCACGAGTCATCGGGCTCTTTGGTCAGCGGGTGACCAAAAGCAGAGCACTCGCGTGCGAAGCGAATCACCATGGGTAAAAGAATTTGGTTTCCCATCCGAGAAATTTTGGTAATCACGTGACCGTACGCCCGCACGCTGGCCCGCCCGTCCGCACCACAGGCATACCCGATCTGAAAATTACTCAGTCGACAGGTATGGCAACCCAAATGCAACTCGAGGTAATTTTGGCGGGAAATCGCATAGCCACCCGCGTCTTGTAAAGTAGAGACATCTAAAGAGTCAATAAAAAGACGAAAACGGAAAGCAGAAATTGTTTTTGAATCTGTGTTGTCTAAAGTCTTAACCCATTCGCTCCTGGAGATTTTACCGAAAAACGCGTTTTGAAGCTAGTCGAGTGGTTTTCTGGTCACTGTCGCGCTATAAAGAGCTAAAACTTACCACAAACTGGTTTACAGGTCGAACACTTCGCGGCCTTCTGATCAAGATGCAAAATATCAGCTTGCGAAGTTCGGGCATGCGCAGAAAGCAGAAAGCAGTCTTGACTTTTACTTTTCGCTTTCTCTCCTCCCTTCTTTTTTCGCTTTTCTTGCCTCGTTTTTTTTTTCTCTTGCTGGGCATTTAGTAGGCTTCATTTTGGTCGGAAGAGTTTTTAGGAAAGCTTTTAGGATCTTAGGATTAGTTGAAAGGAAAGGTAGGTGGGTAATGGAAAAAGATTTTCATGGAGATTTTCAGGTCAATGTCACGTGGTTTTTTGCTTGTTTCTCCGGTGTCCTTGACTAAATTGTGCTCATTCTGGTATGGTTTGAAAGATCTCTTCACTCTGCACAAGTTAGCGAAGAAAGTTGTCCTTGACCGTTAAAACTGATGACGTCACAATGGGTAAAAAGGACCTGGATCCGCACGGGCGGTTACGGGCGGTTCAGGGGCGAATGGGTTAAGCTTAGACGAATTGTCATGTCCACAAATTTGGAAAATAGAGCAAGAGAAAGACATAGGAAAAGAGGAAGTAGGCGGCAGACCAGCGAAGCTCAACGAGAAAAAGAGCGACGGAGATCTAGAGCGAGAGATAAAAAACAAAGGAGACATTTACTTGTTGGAGGAACAAATAACAACTATGAACAACTCGGCCCAAGGGCCGGTTTCTCCAAAGTCCCGGTAACTTTTCGGGCCCGAAAATCTGTTTTTTGTTTGCCGTGTTTGCATTCAGGATCAAAGTTTCAATAATTTTGAAAATTTTACAATAAAATTAACAGTTAACGAAGCAAAATTGACCGCTTTGTGAGCTAGGAACTGTGCTACGATTCCACAGGTTTTGACTACAAAATTTGCCTTCGGACTCGAAAGGTTACCGGGCCTTTCGAGAAACGGGCCTCGGAGTGCTAATTCATTTACCAAGTAGACAGCTCGAGTGCAAGGAAAAGGTTACGACAAAAGAACACAAGTGGAAAAAAACTTTTCTTTCACTGTTTCCTTACTCCCTTGATACAAATATGCACTAATCAAATACCACTTAAAAATTACCCATGAATTATAACACTGAGAAATAACAACTAACAACTATGAACATACGGTTCGAAACTAAAAAACCTATCAACCACCATATTATAACCAATCACCACAGCCCTCAGTTTAGACCAGTGATAGCGTGATGAAATACTTATTTGGGTTTGTCGTGCATTCTTTCGCCAGAATTGCATGACGCTTTTGTTACTGTTGACTGGGACAGTTCCAGACTCTCAGTAAATCCGGGAGAGCGTAATTACAAGCGAAAACAAGCGAGGACTAGGAGAAGGAGAGTTTATTTTTCTCCTTCTTTCTATTCTTGCACTAGTTTTTCCTTTAGCCTACAAATACAGTCGTCTCTACTGGCTTCTCGCTGCTTGAAGGAGACGTTTGGCGAAACGTCCCTTGAGGTGGAGAAAGAGAGGAGCGAGGAGATATCTTAAACTCTCTATTATTGTCCTCGTTGGAACGTCACTTTGCCCAAACCAGGGGCGGATCCAGGATTTTTTTAGGAGAAGGTGCACTCGTCTCTTGCTCTACTTCAACACCAATAAACCACATAGTTTTTTTTTTTTTTTTTTGCAAAATACCAGTTGGGGGGGGTGCGCAACCCCTACACCCTCCCCCTAGATCCGCCCCTGCAAACAAAGTTGACCACCAAAGCAGTTTTACCGTATATTCTCCGCTTTGTGGTACAAGAACGTGTAAATCAACGGCTTATTTTTTCATCAAAACACCGTTGTTTGTAAGTACTTGGCATCACTGATAGTTAAACGCAGGAGGCAAGCAAAAAATATTCCCTAAGGAGTACTACAACAGAAACTTAGCCTGCCCAGTGCTGAAAGTGTAAGTATTCTGGTTGGGCAGCGAGCACTAGAATACTGAAAAAATGTCCCTTTTGTTCGCAGAAGACGTTTGTGTTAAACTAAAACCGATGATGACGGTTTCCTCAGCACGTGCATCTTCCCAAAAAATAATACATTTGTAATAAGAAGCTAGAGAGTTGCGATATGAATGCAGCCTGGTTCTTAAGTTTTTCTCTTGCTCCGTTAACCGCGCGAAGTCTGGGAAAGGGTGGGCGAGAGACGTTAGAGTCCAGGATTGACCGAGCCGAGAACACCCAGGCTCTAGGCTGATAAGATTGTATAGTTGCCTCATTACACGTATTCAATTTAGTTCAATTAGCATTAAAAAATTGGATATAACCAAAAAAATATTATGTACAAAAAAGGAAAGAACAAAATGGGAACTGAGATGTTGTTTCAAGCGACTGCTGTGTTGTCAAATCGGTGATAACGGCCGTCTTCGGGTTCCTCTGAGTTGTCATTCTTGTAGAGACCTGCAATGAAATAAAAGCTTAAAAAATGTCCAAAGGAAATCTTACAAAGTTCAACCTTCTACCCTTAAAATACGACTGAAAATCGTTCAACCAAATCGTCAAACGCTGGTAATTTCCATCCAGCGGGTAAGTACCAGAGAAACCGATTGCGTTATCCGCTGGATAGAGATTTTTCCAGTGGATAGCGTTATTCACCTTTTGAACAACAACAAGCTGGCCACAATTACATACATGTATATAGCTACAGCTCAATGCGTTCAACAGTATTTGTAGGGTAAGGATCCAGCGAAAGCGTATTATACAGTTTGGCAAGAGTAAATATGAGTGACGAGATGAAGTTTGAGTGAGAACAATGAATCACAATTTAGTCACATTGTCAAGGCCCGAAAAAAGTCCCGTCTGGTACTCCGGCCGAGGCAAGAAGATCTTGTTGCAAGGCAAGTATACCTTTAAAAGCTCACTTGCTTACTTTTAAATAGACAAGAGTCCAGGTACGTCATTCTCTAAAAACATCATTTACTAAGACGAGCAAGAAGTGGTCCTTGGCAAGCAAAATGAGAGAGCTGTTTGCCCAAAGGACAAGCTGAAATTCAAGTTTTTTTTTTGGAGGCCTCATTAGGATGGTGATTTACTTGTCTGTATGAAAAAAAAAAGCCCCTCCCCCCTCCACGCACCAACCATACATGTGCCTCACATCACATCACAGCACATCGCATGTCCGCGATAATGGCCGTTTTCACACTAGAGACGGATTATCCGTCTGAGACGGTTAATCCATCTTCAAAATCCGTCAAAATTGACGGAAAAAGAGATGGATAAAGTTAGGCGGATTGTCCATCAAAAATTAAGACCGTTCCATTTTCAACGTACGACGGTTTATCTGTCTCACGCAAATTATCCAACGGAAAACTCATCTCAGACGGATAATCCGTCTCTAGTGTGAATACGGCCAATTTTAACAACTTGAAATAGAAGAATAATATTAATATTTACCATATTTCTTTCTGATCTCATCGTGTTTCTTCTGTCGCTCCTCACGCCTGAGAGAAAAAATAGTAAATCAGTAGGTGGTTACGTTTGACATTAATAATCACTTTTTTGCACCTTTTCCTGGTTCAATTAAGGTTTCTGGGAAACTGCCCACCTGCTCCTCCCCTAATCCAACATTTTGCCGTAAGTGAGAAGTAAGTGTTAATGTTGACTCAGGGGAGGGGTAGGTGGGCAGTTTCCAGTTTCCCAGAAACCTTAATTGATCCCTTTTCCTTAGTTAGTAAAGCTGGTACACGTTTAGCGTGACGCTTATACTTCACGCAAAACGCATTGGTCAACAATTATTATACCTTTCTTTGTGTTTGATTTCTATTTCCTCTCGTTGACGACGCCATTTAGCTTCTTCTTTATCGAGTCTATGAGATAAAGGGTAACAAAACAACGTTTCAAGTCAGGTGTGCTGTGTCAGCAAATTGAATACTTGTAAAACGAACTGTAACAGTTTGCTTCGAATGATATCACATACCCTCTGAATCTCTTTTTCTTTCGGCAACAGCAGCAGTAGATGGTACATCCCAGAGCTAGCAGCACCACAAAACCAGTCACAGGTAAAGCAATGAGAAGAATTTTACCAGAGACTGAAAATCAAAGCATATATGCTGGTCAGAATAGCCTGAGATACAATGTAATACGATGACATTTCGTAATGAGCCCACTAGTTTCCCTGCAAAATGACATCTGAGAAACAAGTGCAGAAATTTATCTATCAACGTGTCACTGCCAAGATCTGGGAAGTGCTTGTGATTTAAGCGCATTATCATAGCGGCACACCCAAATCAGAAGCACTACCCAGATCTGACGGAAACCGATCGTTTCGCCTACACGTCGTTTCGTCTACACTGAGGTCGATTCGCCCACATAGTCTTGCTTGTTTCGCCTGCATTGATTGACTTCACTGACTGAGTTATATAATTAAGAGTAAAGCTTACCGATGACTCTGACATGTTTAAACTAATTTATAATATTATCTTGTGAAAAAACAAAATCAGTCATCAAAGGCCCTTAAATATTCTGATTTTATTTCAGCAATACAGGGATGATAGTTCATTTGTTGACCTGCCTGAGTACGCGAACGATGTGCTAAAGATCGCCGAGGTAAAGATAAACTTACATCTTATAAGTGTACGTCGGTTGCTTAATTGACAATTTTTAACGTAACTTATCGACCTTAGATGTGTTGGCGAAATGTCTAAGATTATGTAGGCGAATCGACCTGAGTGTAGGCGAAACGACCGACATACGATCTGACACACCATCAGTATGGTATTTCTTCCTCGGACGTCATTTCGTGGGGGAAACAAGTAGTGGTGTCGTGAGATATTGGATACTTTTTCAGGCTACGGTCAGAACAGACAGTTAATAACATCTCCTACAAAGGATTATCAATGCAGAACCCTTAAGGTGAATCTGCAGCCACCCGAACCTTCTTTACATTTGCATAAAACTGAAAAGTTTGCCTAATTCGGCAAAAACAGAGGAATCTTTTCTTACGGGATATAGAAACTGAAAAAACCTACAAAGAGATTCCACTTGGTAAGAACAAAAGAATTTTTAGGAAAACAAAAAAATGGCACTTAAGCCACTGAGTAACAGTAATTATAATAACGATGCATGTAGCTGTATGAAGAAGGTTTTAAAAAGTGTGTTAACTTAATTGAGTTAAATTCATAAAAATAAAACTATGAAAAATTTGCTTAAGATGCAATTATGCCATTATCAAGTTACCTTGTACTACAAGTAAAATAATGACTTTGCAATGTTAATTTGCTCACCAACACACTGTTTGTATTTCCAATCCTGACCTTCGCAGGACTTGTGCGTAACATCTTTCACCACATCAAATGGAATACAATGTTTGTCCTTTTCACAAAATGCACACTGGAAAGTAAGACAAAAAGAACCATATTTTTTCATATGGATTGAAGATGTAACAATAAATTTTCTCCATGTAACTAAAATGACAGAGCTCAAACTACCGGTAAATGCCAAAAGGCGTTCCTTGGCCTGTGATAACTTAGAGTAGACAGAAATATTGTACTTTATGGAACTGAGAAGTTTACCAGAGCGGACTACAGCTGACGGCTTATAAGATTAAGTAATTAAAACAATAATTCCATACTGATCCTGGACACCGTCCCAACCTAAAGAGCCGGGTTGATCAAAGATGGATTGAGATAACCCAGGATTAGTTCAGAATTTGAATTCAGATATAAAATTATAACAAACCAATTCAGTTTAAATATTTTTGCATCCAACTGGATGATTGGATACTCTAAAAGGAATAGAGAAAATTATTACTGAAAAATCTATGGAACAAACGACGCAGGTTAGCGCTAATAGGCCAGGCCACTTGCAGTAAGAGGACAAGTAACCAATGTTTCCTTTAAACAATGAGTTGCAATCTTGCTGATGCTAACATTGACAGAGCACATAAAATTATCTTACGTCCGAAATTTGAGAGGAAATGCCTTTAAGGGAGATATTTTTTGGTACTTTGCTTTTTCAACAAGGTAGGATTCTTTATATTCATTTATATTTGGCTGCCATTTTGGAGGGCAAAAGTATGCCCTCCAAAATGGCGGCCAAAACTACTTTTTGCCTGTATTGTTAAACGTTTGACAGTTACGCTCAGATGTGCTGTAAACATCACCACATCATCTTTTCAACATTTTCTTTGAAGTCTAAGTGCAAAATTTGTGTTCAGAAAGAGGTAATTCACAATTTTAAAAATCACATTTTGATCATGTGACCTGCTGTGAACTTACTCATTTTAAGAAAATGATGTGGGTTTGGAAAACCAAATCAATATTATTTTGTTTAAGATATGACTCACTAATCGTTTTTTGAAGGCAAAATCATATAACTTTCATTTTCATATAAAATGATGTCAAATGACCTCTTAGTGCAAATGGCCTATTACCCTTGGAACAACTAGGCCTAGAAATTATCCAAATGACTACAAAGAGACCAACAGATTATCATCTAATATTAACTTGGTTACGAGACATGGCTAAACTGGGCAGAAATGTTTTTTCAGTTGGTGTTGTTGTGAGTCTCTTAGACTTTGGCTTCACACTGTGAGCGCTTGACCAGATCAACTCCCACAGCCCTTGACAGCAAGTGAACAATTAACACTGCTTGGCTTATGCAGGGCTGCAAATAACGGCCGGTCAACGGACAATGTCCGGACAAAAATAGGTTTTGTCCGGTCAAATCCTTAGATGGCCGGACAATTTGTCCGGTCGTCTACGCTGGTAAGGAAGGTCGAAACACAATGGATTAGAAAGAAATTGTATTTGCGATAATCCTTTATAAATGTTGCCAATGTGGTATGTAACGACTTCAGTTAATGAACATAGTCGTCAACGTCTTCGAAAACCCTTTCCAGTGCATCTGGGTGTTCCCTTATGTCCAAACCGCATTTTCGTAAGATGATGTCCTCGGATGTCTTAGCCTGTAAACAGACGTTTTATTTTTCTTTTCATTCTTTCCAAAAACGTTGGTGAGCGAAGCGAGCGCGGAGCGCGAGAAAGAAAAATAAAGAATATGTATATTTATCTTCCCCCACCACCACCCCCTTGCGCTGGCGGTCAATAAATCCCCTGCGGTTTATATTTTATCACCCGCGCTCAACGGACTTTTAAGAGAAAACAGAGGGTCTGTGAACAGGCTACGGATGTCTAAAAAAACTCTTCCATTATTGTATTTTAAAAGTTCAATCACGCATCTTAGGGAAAGAGCTTCCCTGTTTCTGGCAACATTTAAAATCAACTAGATTGCAAGCCTCAGTCAATTTCATCAACTTCATAACTAACCGTATATAAGACGTAGAACTCAAGCAATAGTAGTAGGCACAAATGTGATACTGATTTTGCTGTACCATGCGTTCCACTTTTCCTGCATTGAGATCGATGCTCATGTACAATAAATGCTTTGAAAATTTACTTGTTTCATATTTAAACATCATGTGAAGGGGTGAGGGGGTACTTTTATAGCGATAAGACGTAATCGATGTTTGTCCGGCCAAAAATGGGATATGTCCGAGCAAAAATAGGTTTGACCGGACAATTTGACCGGTGCCAGCCGGGAAATTATTTGCAGCCCTGTTATGACTACATAGATTGAAGACAATTTATTGATTTCCAAATCCTGAAACGTTCAGAGTAATGTTCTACATTATAAATTGCCAAAAATAAATTTTTTGTAATCTGTTTATAAATCCACAAGGCTGCACTGAGGAGTTGAACTTGTTTAAACATGTGCATTCATTCCTGATTGAATTGGAATTTAGTCTTGAGGAGACGGGAAAACCAAAGTATGCATAGTAAAGCCTCTCAGAAGAAGGGAGAGAACCAACAACAAACCCAACCCACAAATGACGTCAATGCCAGGATTTGAACCTGGGCCACATTACTGGGAGGCAAGAGCTGTCATGCACCACTGTGCCAACCTTGGTTAGAAGGCACACTCAGTAGTATTTAAACTGTATTCATTTGGTATTCAATAAATTTGTGTACTGTGGTTATTCATTACATAAATTTGTTTATTAAAAACCACCTTACCCCATCCTGTTTAACACATTCATCACATGACTTGTTGCTAAATTTCTTGCATTTGTCCTCTAGAATCAAAGACAATAAAGTAATAAATTATCAATTGCTTCGAAAACACATATAAATCAATGTCTCAATCTTTGCATCCTACCGGATGCATGTCATGAATTAGTCTGCATCCATGGGTAATTATTACAAATCATCATGGACACAGGACACTTGGGTAGGAGCTCTCACACGCGCAAAGTGTGCCCAGGGGAGCACCATGAGTGAGATAATTTGGTTATCCATGCATCCAAGAAATTTTAGTAGTATTTTAGCTCTGTCCGCACCATGGGATAACCAATGTGAAATGACCCTTTTTACTTCGAGTGGTGCTTGGTGATAGACGTCCATGTTACAGCCATCTTAGACACCCGGACTTTTAGACAAGAAAAACAACAACAAAGCCGCGTCTCTTCTTCGACTAAGTTTTAATGTCTAGGCTGACATGGATAACAGGGAAAGAACAAGAGCGAGAGATAAAAACAAAGGAGACAAATTTTTTTAGAAACACATGAAAATTTCATAGCAGTAGTGAGAAAATGAGGAATGTTAGCAGCCAGTAAGATGAAAATTAATGGCAGTGCAAAAGAAAGTGAACAGGAACACAAGCAGCAATTTATTTTTTGTGAGAACATACAACATTTCCTCCATAAAAAGTGTATAAACTAGAAAGCTTCACATTATAGTCATGCAACAATAAAGGTAAAGAAACCTCCAAAAAAAAAAGTGTGCTGCGTGTGAAAAGTTGTTTTCTTTGCTAGTTAGACCTGTTGTTGTTAAAGCTGTTTTTTTGTTGTTGTTTTCAATGCCGTCACTGTTTAGCATCACATGATTTTATTTTTGTGTGAATAAATTAGAAGTATAGTAACGAGAGCTTCACTTTTAGCCCTGGCTAAATCTATCTGTTAAGTTTTAGTCATAACTACCAACCATATAACAGGGCTTCAAACAGGGTGTGTGGGTGTGAAAACACACAATTTGATCAAATCCACACAATCCCATACAATTCCTAAAAAATCTTCACAATACTGCGTGATGCACTTAGGTTTTTTAGAAATATGTTTTACTCTTCATAAACAGGATTTTTTAGAACTTACTTGGCACTTTTCAGGTTATTTTCTTTGCAAAAACAACACTGTTTTTACCTTTCTTCAAACCACACCGGTTTGTTGACTTTGACATATAGTCACGAAAAGCAATTACTGAGTATTCTCTGAAGCTCTGCACAGTCCCAGGCACTAGTCACGTGGTGACATACATTACAACTTGGATATGTTGTGGTTAACTTTTTATTTCAGTTAATTTTTATTTTCCCCGGTTTCAAACTTATTAACATACACTACCATACCCAAACACAAATGAAAATCAAAAATTAACTGAAATAAAAAAAATAAACTGCAACAGATATCTGTCTGGATTTGCAAAAAGTTACCTCCAGGATTTTTTTAGCAACAGTCTCATTTGTGGCTTGTTCAGTACTTGGCCATTTTTTTTTCTTATGATGCTTTCAGTACAAAAAAACCCCCTAACAAACTGCCGTAGACAAGAAGATAAAGTGTTGATAATGCTGTTTCCATCTCCCCCCCCCCTTCCACCTATCATTTCCCATAATTACTTCAGCGGAGCACAAAGTAAAGGACTAGTGACACTCAGGAATGTATCAAAGTTGACTTTTTTGACAAGATTGGACACACAAAGTCTGTAGGTTTTCGGTTCTATTCGGCTACTTGACGAAATGAGAAAATTAGTTTGAGATATCTCGATATCACTGCGATTTCTTTGATTTATTCTTTAACTTTTTCGAGGAACAAAGAATTATTATTTTGGCTTTCCCAGGGTTTGAACGGACTCACCTGTGTGACCCCTCAGATCAAAGGAGACTCTAAGTTGAGGGATTAGCCGATTGCACTACTGCGACCCAAGGTAGTTCGAGATAGGAAAAATAGTTATGAAATGATGCACTAGTTTCGGGTAAAGGTTGGGCACACAAGTTCGTGACTTTTCGGCTTGTTTCGGCTATTTCACGAAATGAAACAGGACTACTTTGTGATATGTTGAGATCACTTCGAGTTTAGTCTTTAATTTACTTGAGGAATAAATAGAGGATATTACGTGGCCACGCAGAGACACAAAATTTCTCTTCGAGTGTTGAAAAACATGTCACGAGTGAGCCCTCCTTTCGAACTGTTTTGTGATGAATTTAAAGTTACAAAATGCTGCACAAAGACATTTTGTCTTTGTCGAGTGCTACGTAGTAAAACTGCTTTCATGCGTTGCGTGACTTTCTCGAACATTCTCTACGTTTTTGGATTATTCATGAATAATTAATTAGGGCATGTTTACAAGTTTTAGCATGAGCAAGCAGATTTGCATCAGTTACTGAAATCAGAAAATATGTCGAAAAGCTATTATTATTCGCCTGTTTAGTATTTTCTAGAACCTTACGTCAAACAGTATACAAGTTCCAAGCGAGTTCTTTTGATGAACTAAGTTTTCTTCCCACGAGCTGGACTGCTGTGTTTAGTCAAGTGTGACGACAGTTGATTTTCAAGTTCTGTGTTTACAAGTTGGCGGAAGCCGTAAGATATCTGACATTCAAGTGAGAGTTTGTTATTATTGGTAGAGGTTGTTCAGTTTTACTCAAGTTCAAGTAAAGTTTGTGTTGGCAGATGCTGTGTTTTAAAGCTCTGTGAAGGCTATGTTCCTTTGGTATTAAACTTCCTTGTGTTAATCTGACATCCCTGCGTGCTGATAGTCAGTGAATAATTATCATCAAAACATTCGAACTCATAACATTGAGTTTTAGCAAATTCCATGATCAACGTTTCCTAACCCATGCCTTACTTATCTTTAATCAGTACATGAGACTGCTATGCTGTTTTTGAAGCCTGATGTGACTAAGAAAAATAGAGAATTCTTTTGTCACTGTTTGTTTTGTTAGACTTGTTATTCAAATTTCGAAGGATTTGTATGAAGTCATCAGAGCATAACTGGGCTAATCTCTCAGAGACATTCTTTGTCCCGAGTGCTAGTTTTTGGCAAGTAGGCCTCTTGGATGTTGCTCTTTTCAGAATATCCTGACAAATCCCATAATTTCACAAATTAACATCTTACTCTTACCATATTTCATTTCTTACTATTCCTCCGCATTTACAATTAATCAGTTCCACAACCACGCCGCCGAAGTGTACGCTCCGTAGCGTCTTTTTCACTCTGTGTCATAAAACACTGTTAAATTCAAAATCAGCATGTGCAGTACAAGTTGTTTTCCATGGTCGGTTAATTTTCTAGATTTCACTTTGGCCACCTGCAGCAAAGTTTTCCGAAGGCACTATTGAGCCTCATGAAGGAGCAAGTCTAATGATTTGCAAAGCCTGCTGCCATCCAATATGTTACCATATTTCGTCTCATTTTGGCTAAACGGGTGAAACACTGATCTCGGGCTTGAGACAGAAAGGCATCATATTACAAGCGTTGATGTGGGTTGTGATCAGTCTCTGGCCTCAAAAAGTAGTTTGTAGGACTAACATCTACTCGGAGAGAGCAACATTGATGCATATTTCTGACCAGGCCAGAGATTTAGTTAAAAATTGTTTTGAACGCCAGCCTCTATGTGTCCCTTTCAAAACGGCTCGTCTACATCCAGGATCTTGAATAAATCCACTGTGTCATGTGATGATTTATGTGGAGAAAGCGAGAGTTATTGAGCGAGAGTAATTTGATGACATTTGGTCCATATTAAGTGTGGAAACATTGTGCCTGGTTGGCTGAGGATATTTCTATCAGTGTCGCAAACGTGGTTAATGGTGTGATTTCCTGAAGTTGTTGACAGACAGAATTCAGGTATGTCGTGGTGCTCATGTTCTAAGAATAATTATCATGCACAAGCATAAAAATGTTTCATGAGTGTTTAGTTGAAGTGATTTTGTCTTTATTAGACAACCGATTCTGGGCTCAAGAAAGGTAGATTCTAGGTCTGTTGTAGTCAGGTATCTCGCTATGAGCCTCATAGATAATTGAGAGACTGTAATTTCATAATTTCTGTGCTTTTAAATGTTGTTCATTTCATTACAAATCTCTCGCTATTGCCAAGGACTTCCTGCGTGTAGCCAGCGATTAATTTGTCCTTTTCAAGCCCTAACTAGCAACTTTCAACTTCTTTTTACTCACCTCAAGGGTCAAATTGTTAAAATGCACTTGAAATTTCTGTACAGAGTGTACCTTTTTATAAATTCAGACAGATAAACATGATATGTTGTACTTAATGGAAGTCAACGATTCACTGTTGGGTGATTTCCTCTAAAAGCTGTTAAAGCGTGGATCAAAGACAATGGCCAGAAATCAAAAACCATACCCTTGAATACATGTACGTGTATGGCTGGGCATCTTAATTTGAGTTACCCATATACCATGGTCATCCAATGGGAATTACATGCTGTAAGTAGGCAAGTTATATTATAATATTAGCCTTTCCAATTCTTTCATGTCCCGACCACCACTTATCAGTGAAACCAGCCCACTATATAGACAAGTCCTGCCCTGTATGTAATCAAAATTAATGCTTGAGAAAAGTTTCCCAACATAACATTGTTTACATAACGTTAAAAGTGAACACTCTAGCAAAGTGTTTATCAATAAAAATCAATATATCATATCTTGTATATTAGATGAAGTTTTCCACAAAGCCCTGTAGAGTAATTCAAACATACAGTTACCCTCGTCCAGTTCTTAATACACATAAGCTTAGTCATAATAAAAAGTAGCAAACATTTTTAATATCACTTGGGCAAAGGTTCAAAGAGAAGTTAGTATACGCTTCCCAAACAGAGTGGCATTTAAGGTGACACAAAAACTGTCTACGCACACGTACAATACAAACACAATATTTCAATATCCAAGTTATAAAGTATGATGTAAGATTATTTCCGAAATCCAGAACAACAAAAAATAACATCGCTGTGAAATTTTAATACCGCCAAGGTTAAAGTACTAACTCGCACCGCATGGAAGTGAAAAGCGTCTGCAGGCTGTCTGTTAATCAACGAAAACGAAACCATTGGCACTTGAAAAAGTTAAGCTTAAGGTTCGTCTGAGGTTCGTATAAAACATGATTCGCCGATCTCGTGACGACTTTGATTCGGCATATTTTCGTCCATTTCTTTCAGTCAAGCTAGACTTTAAAACGGTTTCATTACGTTTACAGACCTTACAGATCTTTTTTAAATTGAAAGTTGTAGAGCTTTGACCAAATCGAATCGATCATGAACGTACAACATTGGCAAGCATTATGCCGTCCAAAGTTTCAAGTTGCCTCGTTAATCACTCACCTTTCGTTTCACTAGCTCCTACGGACACTTCTAAAAGGTAAATCTGTATGAAGCACAGAATTAGAAGCACAAAGGCTGTCCAACTTTTCAGTGAACGAAGCATCGTGACTCTAAATGAGACAAAGTTCCTTTCTAAAAACATGAAGTAAAATCTCGATTACAAATGACGTCATAACTGCGTTGCTGCACTTAACCTCGTTACCAGGTTCTTTGAACGATCGTGCAGCCGGAAAGACGTTGAGGTCATGATGTAAATAACTCAAGAGGTGATTTTTGTTTTCTTTGTCAAACGAAAATTGATTTTTCCTACGAGTCGCTATTTCGTCACGGCCATTTTTTAAAATAGCGAGTCCAGTTTCCTACGGCCGAGATGCCCCTGATAAAATTAGTAGGGGCGTTTTGGTCTGAAAACGGGTTTACACTTTGCCCCTCTCAGGCAGGGTCTGGAATCGGGTATGGTTTTCGAGGGAACTACGGGTGTTTGTGAACGTATTTATCGTTTCAATTCCAAATGAGTAAGAAAGAAAGAGAAATATGCGAATTCGACTAATCGGCAGTCGCCAGCGGATAGCTCGAAAATTTCTGCGTTTGTACCATAGGGACACCAGATTAGGATGCGTTCTGACAAACGTGACCTGTGTGGATTTCCAATGTCGTTTTGCTGCACGATAGACCCTTTGCAGCTAGTCAGAAGTTATCAGGGGGCTTAAGCAAAGGCGTTTCTAAGCGACACACGTCAACCGGAAGTGAGTTATTTCCCATTAGTCAATATCGCGGCCTTGACGCTACCAAATTAGTGTTCTTAAGTGACCAGTTCCCTTATAGAGACGATTTGCCCACGTAATGGGGTAATATCACTGGCAGGAATATAATGTCATGTGCGTCACTCAGAAACGTTTTTCATTGGTTAAGCTCCCTTTTCAAGTGATACAAATCCGCATTGCTGAAGAGCAAGAGAGACACTGGAACAGAAAAAACAAAACAAAACAACAGCAACAACAAAAACAAAGAAAGATACCATTTAAAATGATGTCAGTCCTTTTTTGTCTTCTTCGAGTGCATCTCTTCCTCTCCAACTTGAACACAGTGTACCACGTGAATGATTAAATGTCTGATGACTAGCTGCAAATTAGAGGGCCTATTGCACACCTGTAGTCAAATGTCGCTAATAAATGCAGCCACATTACAATCAGAGAGGTGCATGAAAAATATAGAGTGCAACACACACATCACTCGCACCACATATTTTGTATTCCTTTGCAATGCATAATATAAAATAAAAGTTAAACTATTTGTGAAAATGTTTTTATTGAGAATGTTTTGTACACCTGTCATGGCGTGTACCCTGCCGGCAGAGGTTTCTCTCTTGAGTGCCTTTAACATTTTACGAAGTCGTTCGCGTCTCTTGTCTGCGGCGTAGTCAGGTTTGTTTACGCCCCGGGGGCACTTGGGTATTTTTCGGGTGGGTATGTGCCGCCCGGGACTCCAAATTGGCACCCGTTCTAAAAAAAAAATTTCTCCTGAAATTGATACCCCGTTTTAGAAATGGGCCAATTTTTATACCCCCGTTTTAGAATTCGCTTTAAAACTGATACCCCGTTCTAGAAATGGGCCAATTTTTGTATACTACGTTCCAGGGTGCAACAAAGAGTATAACAGTTTGCTTGTTAACGCATTGAACCGTATTTTTAAAAGCAATCTGTCCTTGAATAATTTCAAATGGCTGCTTACAAAAGTGGAGCTTTCGTGCATTCGAAATATTATACCCCTTTCTAGAAATCGCCTCTGAAATGGATACCCCGTTCTAAACCAGGAGCTTCAAAATCACGACCCCGTTGGGCGGCACATACCCGTATAGGTAATGTATGGGAGTGCCCCCCCCCCCCGGGGTTTACGCCCAAGTACTCGAGTGATAAGAGGCACAAACGATTTCGTGAACGTGAACGTGAACGTAAACGTTCGTGAAGCCTCTAACAAGAGAGAATCAGCTAGCTTATTTTGTCTTGCGTCTAATGAACAAGAGTGGACGTTAAGGGTTAATTAACTGTGCCACTTTTCAAACTTAGCGAAAACTGGAATGCACAATTCAATAATATAAGCAGACGTTTTGCCATAATAAAAAGTTTTTTTGTACACAATTAAGGCGTTATGAACGTTGTTTTGACTTGCAATTGCAAAAAAATCGTTATAACTTAGTTTCTAACAATATTGCACATTTTGATACCCGAAGAAGACCTCTCCACATTACCATCCAGTTAGCACACTAATGAAACAACAAAAGAGGACGCTTTGGGACAAATCGCTTTATTTTGTCACCCCAAGCTTTGAGGTGGTAACATTGAATGCTTGAATTGCGAACGGTCTGCACTGATTTTGATACATTATTATTTCAAAAGTAGGTTGAGTTTGATCGTCCGGGTGAACGTAGTCCTGAATAGGACTGTTGTTGTTGACAGTGACTGACGTTTCGACAACCTGTGCGGTAGTCATCTATCAATAACCAGAGTATAATACCATCAACTGACGTGATACAACTCACTTTGACTCTGAAGATGACTACCGCACAGGTTGTCGAAACGTCAGTCACTGTCAACAACAACAGTCCTATTCAGGACTACGTTCACCCGGACGATCAAACTCAGTCTACTTTTGAAATGACTCCTGGGTTCAAACCTTTCACAGTTACACATTGTTATGTCAAATTAAAACATATTTAGTATTCAACACTCAAAAGATGAGGATTGTAATAAGCCATTTCTGAGTTGCTCCGAGTCTCTGTCATAAATTAAAGCCAGGCTAAGTACGAAGCTATTGATATGAAAATTATTTATGTTTGATTCTCACAAATAAAACTCACGATCACACAAGAAGGGTTTTGCACTTTGCCTCGTTTTGTAAGTGAGACTCTGGAACTCAGAAATGGCCGATTTACATGAAGTCAGTAAGTTTTTTTTGAAGATTCGATCGCAAAATCCTCTTTCGAGTTAACGTAGCATGAGACAACTGCCCCTTAGCTCTCGATGTAAAAAGGAAACGAGGATTTAAATTATGATATAAGGTGTTATGTAACTCGTTCTATTTTGTGAAAGAGTCTTTTTTTGTGGTGGTGATCGAATAAAGGTGTTTGTTTTCAAGTCCCCCAGCACTTAAACATTCATTCATTTTTGACAATATTTAGGATCCTGTTTTGACCAAGTGCACCTTCGCCCGTCTTCTCTCGCCTCTGCTAGTAAATACCCCAGTATGCACGCCGGTCTGCAGTCGACTGAGCCCGAGAAGAAAAACTCCCTTTTGAAACACTGCCATAAAGTCTTGCGGTGGCACTTTGAATCCGAGAAGCAGCACTTCTAGTCATTGGATTTTTCACACCGCTAAGCAATCCATGACTTTTACCTAAGGAAAATGTAAAGAATTTTCTATGTAAGAAAACAGCTTTAAACTCCACTAGCGACTAGGTTGATTAAGGCGTGAAGAACCAATAGAATTAGAATTCAACGTGCTTTGTACACCACCCCTCCCCCCCCGCCTCACCTCCCCATCCCCGCATGGCAATCGTCCAGTTAGGCGTGCCTTTCGCGTCCTCGCACGGCCGAATTCCCTCTTCCCTTTATTTCTCTTTCACATGGCTTTGTTGAGCCAATAGTCTACTGCTGTTCAACCGTGAGTAACTTTTTGGCCTACGGGAAGGTCAAATTCCACGGTTTGTAAAACACGAAAAACCAGAAGGAAATCTAGGTTTGGCCAAGAGAAAATCATGGCAGAGAGGAAATCTTAAGGCGTTGGCCTGGATATGTGAATTTCACTTATGTTATTTTTAGAGGTTGTAATTAAACGGAATTATAATTCTTGGGACGTCCACACATTTAAATCGACTGTTTGAAACGCTATTTTGTAATGGCAAAACACCATGAGAGCATAATGTCTCATTATTTTTTCTCGGTAAGATTGAATTAAAGTTTGCAGACCGAAACCAATTCTCAATAGATTTCAAGCGTTCAATTGGTCAAAAAATAACTTTGGCGACTTGTTCACATATCCCAAGGGCTATAGATTGGGTGATTCCTAGCTCTCTGACATTTTCTGGCTTACCTGGCTTATCTGTACGTACTGACCTGAGGAACTGGAACGGTTCTCATCGCAACAACAACAGCAGCAACAAAAAATGTTACGAATGCACTTTCCACATCCTCTGCATTTCTTTCCTTTGCAGCAGCAACAGCAACAACAGCAAACCAGAAGTACAAGAACGACAAAAACAGTTACGGGAACAGCAATAAGGAGAGACTTGCCATTAACTGTAAAATAATTAGACACAAAATCTCTTGATATATAAGAAAAGTGAAGCAGAACTATCTCTTTCTTTTATCTTTGTTCCAAAGTTACTGGCAGAACTGAAAGAGGTTCATTAACTTTTGAAATTCCCGTCAAGAGGCCATTTCCGAGTTCCCCCGGGCCTCTGTTTCAAAGCGAGGGTAGGTGCCCAGCCTTTGATATGGAAATGATTTTTCATTCTCATGCACATAAAACTCATTTTCACAAGAAAGGTTGAGCACTTGGCCTTATTTTGAAAGTGAGGGTTTTTGGAACTCGGAAGTGGCCTATTTCATGCAGTCTTTCATCAAGCGTTGATTTTCTATAATAAGAAAGCTCTCCGTTTGAATATCACGAGTGTTCTTGCTTTGCACTCTTTCAAATGGAGAGCTTTCTCGCGGGCAGCGCTCTGCCCTTTATCTGCAAGCCTTAGTTTGATCGGAACTCACCAGGTGTCTTTAGGAACTCAAGAAGAAGACCACATTTGAGTGGTATCTCTGGAAAGAAAAAAAAAAAGATCAAAACCTACCAAAACATTGCTTGAAGTACCAATCTTGGTTCTTACATTTGTTATTTAAAGTGTCGTTCACAAGGGAAAATGTCACACAAGAGTTTTCACTGCCACAAAAGGTACACTTAAATCAAAGGAGAAAAGAAGTAAAAATGACGTAATGCGAATACCGGAAGTAAAGGCATCCGCGCCTACACCTGCTAATATATTCTATGCTATTCGCCAATTTGAGGTTGCGAGGGAGACCGAAACGTGATGGTTGTCAAAGTGCATTGTGGGACTGTTTTGGGCACGCATGCACACATGGTGGCAAATTCGTCCCCCAAAACAGTCCCACAATGCACTTTGACAACCATCTCGGCCTGGTCCCGTGCGCAACCTCAAAGTGGCGAATATACAGTTAAACTTACTCAGCTTTTTTGGATTAAAAGTGATGCCTCAAAGTCAGAAAGGACGGAAGATAGAACATCTGAGCACAACGTCGCAAAATTCAATTCCTGATGAAGTAAAGAGGAAGCCGTTTTAATATTTTTAACATAACATTTTCAAAAACTTGCAACTTTGACACTCCCGAAGAAGAAACTGAATTTTAACGGAAGACTCAGCCAGGTCGGGGGGGGCGGGGGGAGGTACTCCCTTTTATGGCCTATATGGGAGGCTCCGCCCGAAAGCAAGAGAGAAAGGGGTACATTTGTCAGGCTTCAGGTAAATGAAAGGGTAGAAAATCCACTAGTTGAGATTTATCAAAGAACAGCCCCAGGGAAATCTGTCATTTTAAGGCTGTAAAATCTGCCCAAAAGGGTTAACAGATACATTCATCGCAGTAGTAAAGTCGAAAGTGTTCTGATTTTGTGGTTTAATTAAGCAATAGACCACACTTTCTATGGGTTTACCGGCGTGATAACCCACTTGGGATGTTGGGAGAACACTCGAAAAGCTTGAAAATCACTCTCCTTCGGCTCGTGATTTACAAGCTTTTCGAGTGTTCTCCCAACATCCCAAGTGGGTTATCACGCCGGTAAACCCACAGAAAGCGTGGTCTGTTGCTTTCATAAAGTAACTTTAAGTTTTCTATGAGTTTACCGGCACAATAAACCATAAGTTTATAACTAATCAGAACGCGCGTACTATCAGTTAGTTATTTTAAAATCATGTTTTAAAGGCAGTGTATCTACAGCAGTTTAAAGGAATACAAAGTTCTAAACTATAGGTATGTGAAAGGGGTACCACTTTCCAATAGAAGGCATGCTAAAGGCCAGGATACCTTCTCTGCCATAAAGGGTAACGTGACCAAAGGCGTTAATTGGACCTCGGAGCTGGTTGTTGAGTACTCCTCCCCGAACGTCGTTCCCAGGTTCTCTCTCCTACAGGTAGGAGATAACCCTGGGAACGATGTTGCCCCTCCTCCGGGCTGAAGACTCACTAAAGTGATAAAAATAGCCAGTTATGCATGTAGTGTAGTATATTTTAACTGTCGGACCTGCTAGTGCAGATACATTGCAGACATATATTTTAATATTATCTCACCCCATCCTGAACACAATCTTCACATAATTTGTTGCTTTTTAAGTTGCACTTGTCCCCTGGAAGAAAAATCAACGACAAAATTTTGATTTTATGCCAGACTGCGAGCCAGGCTCCTCGCACTCCACGCCTGCTTTGCGTTTGCCCTGGCTAGTTTAAAACGCGAAAACAACAACAACAAAAAAAAACTCCTGTTCTGCAGGCTATGATATAGTTAGGACGGATCCTAACACCAGAGAGAGGCGCTATTATTTTTACTAATTTTACTATAATTTTTTTTGTAGAAAGTGAATTGACTAAGTATAAACTGTAACAATGCCATGAAAACAAAGCAATAGCCAAAAAAAAAAAAGGAAAAAACAGTGAAATTTAGATCTTGTTGCAAACCAATGAAGTAGTTCTGCAATTTACTAAAAAAAAAACCCATGTTGTTAGCGGGTGTAATATTATCAAAACTGATTATAAAAGCTTGTCACAGAACAAAAAACGCCACTCACCAGCGTAAATTTGAAGTTGCCATGACTGAAGGAAAAACAGTGCTGTTATAAGAAGAAAGCTAGGAAAATTGCTTGAACGAAGCATTTTTAATGAGCGTGCTGTCAGCAAAAATAAGGCTCCCGTACCGTGCTGTAGTATTTTGACCAGTTGTTGGTTTTCACATGACGTCACTAAAATTCAAACTAAAAAACTATCGATCATAACAGGCCAGAGCGCCGATTTTAAGTACTAGGCGACTTTGAAAGACGCGTGCTTCACATATTTGTGGCGGATTAGAATGCCGGCTTGGTCAGAGGCCCTTTGTTTAAAACATGGCGGGATACTCGCAGCTTAAGGCAAGCATGTGCCTTGTAGCTGTCAACATAATGCTTTTTAATTACATTCTGCCATAATTAACAAAACCCGATCCATGTTTGATTGAAAGTAATTGTACAAATCTGGTACCAGACAAACCGCTTTTAAAAAACAAAAACACAAAACTAGTTTATGGTTATTTCTCATTAATTTCACTTGATCAAAACAAATATTTACTTTTATCAGTTTTCCCGTTTCTTTCAAAACATCCTTCATTTCCGGGCGTTTTACCGTAGTCAATGAAAGATGCGTTTTATCGGTCTTCTTTTTCGCGGGAATATCAAAATTTCCATCTTTCAAAACGCGATGAACCAAAGCTCGCAGGATACCAAAGCGCCAAAGGCGCACGATGCAGTCCCGGTGTTTTGTGAGCATCCGTTAAAAATATTGAACGCCAAAACTATCAAGTTTTGGTACAGCGAGAGGCAGCTAGTTTCTGTACCCAAAGGTTAGTGCATGGACAGGCTATCGAAAGAAAATAAAAGGGATGGTTGCCCAATGGATAGCAGGCCTAACTACGCAAAATAAATGTCTCATTGCATCCTTGTCTGCGAGGTTAGTACTAAATTTACACTCTAGAATACATTACAGAACTCAATCAGCAACACTTTGCAAGTAGAATTGGTGATCAGTGTGGGCAATTTATATTTCTAAGGGACGTCCGTCGCACAAAGGCTTAACGCGCGGGGGTTTTTAGTCAATGACTGACATAACAGTTTCCTCACAATCAACCCAGTTAGAATGCGATAATGTGCGAGTGAACTTTGCCTACAACTGGCAATAAGCTGAATAAACCGGAAGCTGAACAGCATGAATAAGTTACCTAATTACATCGCAGGTTCTTTTTCTTTTTTTTCAACTACCGGAGAGGTTTTTCGTGCATTCTGTTGCGCAGTTTGGCAGTGATATTCCTGCAATGGTTTTAGTACTGGTCCCGTTGCCGAAACCTTGCACCAGCAAGATACGGTAATCGAGAGTCGAGAATCGAGAATCGATATTGTACTCGGGACAAGAAAAGGTCGCCGTCCAAGGAACAACTGATGAAAAGCAAGAGCTTCAAGCTGCTGAGAATCGCCAATTCTGGATTACAAGCAGTGAAGGAACTCCTGAGAAGCGTCCAAATTATAAAGGAACTTTGGAGGCAAGTCAGCCACGGTGATTGTCGCACCACGCGTAAAGTAGAATAAATTTGTTAGCCTGGTCTTGTCTTTGCCACAAATCACGTAAAACTATAAAGAAGGTACCACTATGAACTCTGGAAAATGAAAATTCAATAATACTATGGTTGACAACTGACAGTTTAAAAGAGAGACAACCTTCACCTCAGAATCTTGGGCGCGCCGCCTGTAAGCTCTGAGGGAGAGGGAAGCCCCTTAATTTGGCCTATTTCAAAACAAATGACACTACAAAAATAACCTACAATTATAATTTCAAAAGAGACTACCATCACCTCAGAATCTTGGGCGCGCCGCCTGTAAGCTCTGAGGGAGAGGGTAGCCCCATAATTTGGCCTATTTCAGAAACAAATGACAATGCAAAAATAACCTACAATAATAATTTGGATAAATGACCGACATTTTAAAAGAGAGACTACCATCGCCTCAGAAACTTGGGCGCGCCGCCTGTAAGCTCTGAGGGAGAGGGTAGCCCCATAATTTGGCCTATTTCAAAACAAATGACAGTACAAAGAAGAACTAAAATAATAATTTGAATAATGACCGACATTTCAAAAGAGAGACTACCATCACCTCAGAATCTTGGGCGCGCTGCCTGTAAGCTCTGAGGGAGAGGGTAGCCGCATAATTAATTTGGCCTATTTCAAAAACAAATGACACTACAAAAATAACCTACAATGATAATTTGGATAATGACCGACATTTCAAAAGAGAGACTACCATCACCTCAGAATCTTGGGCGCGCCGCCTGTAAGCTCTGAGGGAGAGGGTAGCCCCATAATTTGGCCTATTTCAGAAACAAATGACAATGCAAAAATAACCTACAATAATAATTTGGATAAATGACCGACATTTTAAAAGAGAGACTACCATCGCCTCAGAATCTTGGGCGCGCCGCCTGTAAGCTCTGAGGGAGAGGGTAG